CTGTCTGAGCGAGAAGATGATGATATAGAGATGAGTTCTATGTTGAAGGAGGTAATGGAGTGCTTTTGGTCTCGTCAAAACGTGGCCTGGGACTGTCACTTGATTGTTACTAATGTTATTTGCCTGTATTTTGTACTAGGTATCTGATCAACATGGCAAGATGTCCAAAGCCATCGGACAGACTCTCCCTGTAAATATCACTCCAACAACGACACTGCCAACACGTCCCATGACAAGCAAACCTATACAAAAGCCACCTATACAAAAACCACCTGTATCAACACCACCTGTATCAGAACCACCTGTACCAAAATCACCTATATCGAAACGAGCTCAGCCAACACGACGAAAATCAACAAACAAACGAGGTGTGGATACTGATGATGATGGTGATGATGGTGATTTCCAATCGCCGCCAAAGAAGCTTCCTAAACGAGCACCATCACGTAAAGCAGCGAAGAAGAGACAATTGCCAAGTAGTGATGACGACGACAAATCTGTCAAAGAAAAGAAAGGCAGCAAGAAGCGTCGAATAGTTCAACAAATCAAGATGTAGTGTGTTTAGTGGGTTCAAAAGTAGAGTAAAAATAGAAATCAAGTCAGCATAGACATTCGCGAATTTTTGAAGGCAAGGCGGCAAGGCATTGAGAGCTGCATCAAACCAAACCACGCTCACAAGATGAACTTTGCTAATGAGACGACTGCGACCTAATGAACTCTATGTAAATTACAACAAAGAACAGAAAAGAGCACTATAGTTACAACTTCATGAAATTTTCAGCACCTCAAGCAACAACTCTCCTTCTCCTCACTCTGCCTTATATAACGACACAGTCTTCTCTCTAATACTCATCACAAAGGACTTGATCTTCCATATCTTCCATCTCGTAATAGTGATCAGGAGACATGGCATGGCTGACAACATTTTTCTTCCCACCAACACCACCACCAGTTGTATCTTCCAAGCTCATATTCTTGAGATGGAGCAGCTGTTGTGATGATGATGATGAAGACAATACGGGACTATTTGTGCTAGCAGTGGTAGTAGCAATAATAGTGGACTTGTGAGCCAGAGGTGAGACTTGATGATAATGAGTGTATTCGCATTCCATGTCATAGGTAGAGGCAGGGCTGTCTGGCACTAGAAATAGAAGTTGTTGTGTTGAAAACAGTAAGACAAAAGCTGATACAAAAAACCCCCTCTCGTGCAATTGTTTTCATGATTCTCATACCCCTGTTCTCCTGACCACCACCACCACCACCAACATTGACAAGCAAGTCCTGAACCTTATCAGCAGGAGCTTTTCCTCGTCCTTTCTCCATATAAGCATGGTTTTGGAACAAGGTACGCGCAATATTGAGTGGTGTTTGGAATCCACCATCACCAGACATCATGTCAAGCGTAGTTCCTTCTTCAGGTACCAAATCATCATCACTGCTGTCATCCATAGTTGTTTCTTCACGAGCAAAGGTTTTGCGAGTCCGTAGTGGCGTCATGAGTCTAATGGGTGAACGCGAAAAAAGGCAATTACAATACCTGTCACAGAAACCCAACCTGAATCTGAAACATACCGTTTGCTGACAAGACCATTGGAAGTTCTAGTCTTTCGTAGCACTTGATCAGCAAACAACGGAGAACTCATACCACGTGATGATGTTGATGATGACGCTGATAATGAACGTTGTAATCCAGAAGACGTGGTAGTAGTAGTCAATGCCAGATGACGAGCCAAAAACACCAGTCGTTGTCGAGTAGCCTTCAAAGGATGACGCCACGTGGATCCAGTAGCAGTTTGTTGAGTGACTGCGATATTGGCAATACGATTGGCGATACCATGAGGAAGAGTGTTCTTCTTCCATGGTGCGAATGATGATTCGTTTGCGATTGCTGGTGCTTTTGAGAATGCCTGTCGGATGGGCATGATTAGATCAACGCGTAGATCAGTCGAATAATAGACTGGATCATTCCGTATCACCAAAAATGACACAATTGAAAAACCATGAGACGTGTCATTCATGATCATGATCATTCACGAGTCCTTCATCAAATCAATCAACAAGAACTCTCAAACAATACATACACTTAAAAGCACAGCATCTTCAGAAGGAGTAAAGATGGTCTCCCACTCAAGTGCATGGTGATCATTGGTAGCCTCTCGCAGGATAGCAGACAAGAATGGGAGCTTGGGACGATGAGGACTTGGTGTTTTGAGCATACTAGAATACAAAGAAATGATAATATCAAATTAGATCAAGTCATGAACGAATGTTGATGAAGCTTTGATGAGCGAAGTAAAGTGTTTGGATATACCTTTGTTAATAAATATCAGAGAAGAGGAGGTCTAGAGATTATAAAGCTCGAGTTTCTAATGGCTATGGATTGATGAGATTGTTCGTCTTGGAGTTCTTTGAAATAGTCTAGTTGTCGATAAGCTCACGAATATGATGAAACGAATTCAAACGATAGCGGACATGTGATCGCAGTCAACTTCAACAGATCTAGACCCGTTTGAGAGACATTATTTACGCGTCAAGTGCTCAAATGTCATGATATTTATCAGAAGATCGTTAAAGAGGGTTGCCTCTGCTCGCTAGTCTTTGGTAAATAAGTTTGAAGCTGAAGATCAGTTCAATCCAGTGGACGCTACTCTATAAGAATCGCGGTTTTGGTCACACACACACACACGCTTGAAAGCAGCTGGCTGTAAAGGACTGTCTTGGCACGGTAAGGTCACGGGGAGTGTGTATGCTGCCGTCGTTCCTTGCTTTTATGCTTTCACAACTAAAGAATCAACCTCACAATGCTTCTGCATATACGATTTGTCATGCCATGTGTTAGTGGGAGTGTATGTATATTGTGCAATGTGTGAATGCGAAATTGTGGACATCCATGACAAAAAATGTGTCCCTAGTTGATCTTGTCTAGTGGTCGATTGAACCCACCACGACGATTCATATACTGTCTATACGTTCTCTCTTTTTTCACATTGGCTGCTCCAACATCGTTCTGTACCTTCTTGCCCTATTTGAGTAATGAAAAGTGTGGGATTCAGCCCTTAAAAAAACCTCAAACATGAAGAATTACCTTGGTAGTATTAAACCCTCCAAATCCAAACATCTTTTGCATTGCTTCTTCATCTATGTCTTCCACATTGATTTCCGGTTGTGGTTCTTCCTCTTCTTGTTTTATTGGTTCTTCAGATTTCACTCGATACGAGTCTGGATCGTACTTGTCGCGTCTGCGATCTCGATCTAACAATAAAGGAATTGATTCAGTTTGGCAAAGAGAAACGTATTTAGCACAAAGATCAATCGGTTGGACAACAATACCTGGCGATTTTGATCTATCATCTCTTGAATACCCTCTATCATCTCTCCCATACCGTGACCTACTATCAACATCACGATCACCTCCTCCTCCTCTTCTATCATCATATCCACCGCCTCTAGACCGTCTCGAATCATCTTGCCAGTTTGCTCCTCCTCTTCGTGAATCGTCACGCCTTGAATCGTCGCGTCTGTCGTAGTCTCGTGGTCTATCATCTAAGGAAGGAATAAATGGTGAGCTGAAATGAATAGTAAGGTTGCTACGGAAACCGCAAAAAGACCACACAAAACATTAGCGTGTACCTCTTCTGTCTCGTCTATCGTAATCCTTCCTATCAGTGCCGGTATCACCTCTTCTGGCATCACGATCTCGTGAGGAAGCACGATCACGGCGATCATCTACGTCGTCGTATCTTCTTCGTGGAGGGTAGTCTAGATATATGGTGAATGTTGGCAAATGTTGCCAAGGGGCTAATAGAAATCATACAAAGCCACATCGCATACCTCTGTCTTTCCTGTCATCTCTGGTGCTGCGATAATCCGGTTCTCTGTCTCCCATTATTAGAATGCTGAAGCTCTCGTCCTTGTTGAATGTTTTTCAAAAGTCGCGACACGTTTGAAGACTAGCAGTGACTTGCATACTTCAATAGATGTTTCTAGGCTTTCACGTGTAAACAAAGTGGAATCACGTAGAGATGGCGATATGGAACTTGCTCGTGTATGAGCTTGGTTGGTATCAAATGTTCTTCCTAAAAATCACGTCGAATATCGCGTTCATACGTGTAGTTCACGGCAAGAAAGCGCATTATCAGTATTGAGAACTCATATACACTCTTGATTTAGCCTCCTGCATAGTGTGGATGTCCTCAGTCGAATTCTCTCCTTTCGTTAAAATTGATAATCTCGACACATACAATAATAGGAAGGATGGCTCTCCTACGACGAGTGCCTGCCAAGTCACTGACGTATACCACATTAATTAGCAGGCACTCTACTGCCTCACTAGCTGCCAAGGATAAGCTCAACTTGAAATACACACTCTCGTACAACCAATACTCGATAGCCATCACTAGGCAATCAAAAAGGTAGAATTTGATCTTATCATTGAATGTGGAATCACTTATATCTTGAAATCGTTGTCTCCTTTTTTGTTGTTGATGCAACACATTCCAACATTTCGTGTCCTCAAAACTTTACATCTCATCTTAGGACGCCATTGACTGGCATCAACTACAAGCACCAATGGACTACCGTCAGGCATATGGGTAATCAACCACTACATTCTTATCTTTGGACGTGACGCTGACCGTGCTGTGGGATTTACCTTCCTCACGGAATTCAACACAGCTTCTATCGTTACTTTTTGGCTTGATACACATGTCCTGATTTGCATAATTCTTTTCACCCATATAGCGGACAAGGTCATCAAAGTCCCCAACATGGCTGAATCCATATCTGAAGGAACTCTATCGAAATGGTTGAAGGGTGCGTTACTGAACAGACCGTTAGCCGCTTGGTTGTACGCGTCATTACATCCATGTTGACGAATCTTCTCCTCAAATAGGTGTTGGAGAGCATGTACAACGTGATGAGCAAATCGCCTCCATTGAAACTGACAAGGTATTCCAATAGTATATTGACCCTTTTTTCGCTTGCAGATTCCCTTTGCTAAGCGCCCTTCGTCTCCCACCCGGTCCGTGCACAGATTGACGTCGCCGTAAACGCAAGCGACTCAGGCACAATCGTCGAAGTATACGCCAAAGAAGGAGACACTGTGAACGTCGGTGCCGATTTCTACAAGATATCATTGGGCGATGCACCTGCTGAAGGAGGATCTCCATCAAAACCTGAACCTGCTCCCGAAAAGGCTGCTGCTCCTGAGAAACCTGCTGAAAAGCCTGCTGAAAAGTCTACACCACCGCCACCGAAAGCTGAAAAGCCTGCTGAGAAGCCAGCTGAAAAGCCTGCTCCAAAACCATCACCAGCTCCACCTGCTCCCGCAACTGGTGAGTGAGATAGAATTGAAGACGCTTTGTATTGATATTCGTATAGGTTTTTTTTTTGTTTTGACGACAAACTCTTATGATGAAAAATAGCCAAAGTCACACCTGGTCCTGCAGCTCCCAAAGAAAAGGCACCAACACATGAAGTCCCTGCCTCTCCTTCAGGGTCAAGGACAGAACGACGTGTGAGTTAGCAAAACACGATTGTTGTGGAGGAGTGATCTCGTTTTGCCTCGCTTACTTATATCTTTTACTTAATTCCTTGCGATATCAACGTTTAGGTCAAGATGAACCGTATGCGATTACGTATTGCTGAACGCCTAAAGGAGTCTCAAAATACTGCTGCTTCATTGACTACTTTCAATGAAGTTGATATGAGGTATGCCTAGTCTGAAAGACAGAACCAGACATTCTTGCCTGTTTCGATTATTATTTTGCTTTTGTGATCGTAAACAAAATGTCCACAGAACTCATTAACTCATAACGTTAATGATTCCTCGCTCAAAAATAGCAATTTGATGGACATGAGGAAAAAGTACAAGGACGACATTCTCGAAAAATTCGGCATCAAATTAGGATTCATGTCTGCATTCATCAAGGCCTCAGTACATGCATTAAATGCCGTACCAGCCGTAAATGCTCGTATTGATGGTGCTGATGTCGTGTATCATGATTACATGGACGTGTCTGTTGCTGTATCCACACCAAAGGGGCTGGTGACTCCTGTATTGCGTAATGTGGAGAGCAAGAGTTTCATTCAAATTGAGAAGGAGTTGTCTGATCTGAGCAAGAAGGTAAATGATTACTATGATTCGAAACTTCTGCACGGTTTTTTCCTCCCATTTAGTTGTATTTGATGACAGACAAGTTTGATACTGACTTCTCGTTTTAATCCACTAGGCACGAGATGGTGCCATCACCATTGAAGATATGGCTGGTGGAACATTCACCATTTCCAATGGTGGTGTATTTGGATCTTTGATGGGTACTCCCATTATCAACCAACCCCAAGCTGCTATCTTGGGCATGCATGCCACCAAGGAACGAGCTGTTGTAGTGAATGGACAGGTAAGTGCAGCTTCTGGTTGAGAAGTGATTCACTCTGTAGAATTTATTCGTCACATTTGGGGTTTCTTTGTATTCCTTCTTTTGTTTGCATTCCCACTTTCTTACACTTGTCTTAATCAAGGTGGTGGTTCGACCAATGATGTATTTGGCTCTAACGTACGACCATCGATTGGTGGATGGTCGTGAAGCAGTCACGTGTCTTGTGAAGATCAAAGAAGCCATTGAAGATCCACGAAGGCTTTTGTTGGACATTTGATGAGTGGCTTTGTTTGGGTATTTTGATGAGTGACTATTAAAAATAGAGGTTTATGAACACGCACAAAAAAGGAGTTTGGAAGCCTCTTTCGTGACCAGAGGTCAAAGTTTTCCGTTTTGTTTTGTTGACTACTGTTTTGTTCCGTTCTGTGATAGGCCAGGAAGACTAGGCTGCAGTTGAGCTCGAGTCCAATCCTTAAGAGTCTGTTTCGATGCCGGACTCTTAACCTTCAGGACCAGCCACAGTGACAGGATGATTGACAAAGGGGGGTTTCATTCCACGACGTTTTGAGGACCTCTTTTCTGTTTCTTTGTCATTTCATATCTTCCCAACCGAAACCCAATCCGTTGCATATTACGAGATTGTGACAGACGCGACGATTCCAGAAGGAGGATGGAGAAGCTCTGGCAAGATGACGCTCGGACGTCACGACCCGGCTGATTTGGTGTTTTGGGATATCGTATGCATGTCAGAGGAGTGACAAATCAGCAACCATGCTTCCTGAGTTTTTGAAAGTGTTTTTTTTTGCTTCCAAGATTACGTCCTCCTATTGAGCACCAACATGACCTTGTTGCCGTTTTTCAAGCAACCAAGAACATGGCTAACCGTTTCAAGCTTTAATGAACTTATGCAGAATGTTTGGTGTGTAGTGTATCGTTTTACAGTAGTCTCGTTTAACTAGTGGCATACACGCAGTTGAACTCATCAATTTCCATATTTACACGCGTATATGTGATGATCTGTAGCTTGGGCTTGATGCGGCAAAGTATATTGTCACGTCATTTTCGCATGAACCACTTTTATTGGTGCATCTCAACTATTCTCATTTTAGCATTTTTTCCTGTCTTCTCGTTCCAAATCGCAGACGTGGCAAGTACGATAGCCCTTACAATCTGTAACTGGATTATAACAGATGTGTTTGGGCGAGACATGGAAGGAGTCCCACCTTCCAACCGCCAAGATCAAAGATTCAAACCCAGAGGTGCGTAATTGCTATTGTAGTACGTCATTTAAACTTGGCTAAATGGTCTCCGAAAGGAGTTACCGCAACCAAAACGCGAGAATCCGCTCATCAATAGTACCCGTTTTTTGAAGAGAAATCTCACTCCCACTATTGGCTTTCTTGACGAGAAATCTCACTCCCACCAGTGGCGATTCGACACATGCATAACAGAATCACGCTGATGCTTCTTGTCAAGTTCGAGTTTTTTGTGACTAGACCTTGAGTCCTGGATGCTGCCAGGTTGGCAGCCGCATACGCAAAAAAGACGACATGTAATTATTGGCATGATCTCAATTGCGTCACAATCAGATCGTACATGGCACCTTATCTGGATCAACACCAATAGCGCCATTATGCGATATATGAGCTAATGGTAAAGCCAATCCTCCAGGTGCACTGGCAGTAGCAAGCGATGCAAGGCGAACGGGTCCTCACACTTTCCAACGTGAATCACTTGATATCCTTCAACACACAGCGCATGTAGGTAGTGTCTGGTCGTTTGCTAATCATAAGATTTCTCAAAAGTCTAACGTTTGATGGATTTCAGCATGATTTACTGGGAAGGTGCAAAAAAATGAGATCAGGTGAAGTGTATAATCTGATCAGTGAGGAAACTCATCTCAACCAACCAGCTGTAGCATTCTTTAATCCACTTACAAGCACACAGCTCATTATGACCTCCTCATAAAAAACACAACTGTATGATTGCCACTTGCGTTTCCCCAAAACACTTAGTCACCAATTGTGTGTGAGGTAAAAGAAAACCTTGTTGGTTCAACTTAAATAATATATATGATGAATGATGTTAAAAAAAACAAAGAATATGTGTGTAAACAGATCTATAAGAACCAGCTTTTGTTGTTCTAAGCCACATAGCCCGGTTTAGAATGATAATGAAGTTCCTGATATGGCGCTCGTCCCACAAGATCAACTTTTGGAACATGCCATATTGATTGACTAAACAAACAAAACTTCAGAAATCAATAAGACTGATACAAACGTCAAACATTACCTCTGCAGCCTCTTCGTAACACTATCCAGCCTAACTCCCAAATACCTCTCCATAAACCTTCCCACATCCGTATTCTCAATGTTCCCTTTCAAATCACTCGCTCTATGCCCATACGCATACAGATTCACATCAACAGCCGAATGTCCATGCGTACTCCATCCAAGCATGGCACGAGTCGATATCATGGGTCCCATAAAGTAATCGTATTCGATTGCGAGATGTGGTGTAGTCAGATATGCTATTTCGTCCGGCGTCGGATCTGTTATGCCTAGCCATTCAGAGAGGATGTCTCGTATCAGAGATTCTGTGGGGCCTGAAGGGAAGGTGGATGCGAGGTACTGGCCTAGTACTTCGGTGCTGTTTTTGGCTTTTGTTAGAGCTTCAGGTATCCTATGTTAAATGATTTTGCCGTTGGTTACTTTAGTTGCACAAAAATCAATCATTTACAAGGATACTAGGGTTACCATTTGTATTCTGGATATGCCGATGTCAGTTGTTTGGCAACACTTAAACCACCTGAAAATAGAAGTTAACCATTTGGTGAGTGTCTCTTGTTGCGATCAGGGCCCATTAGGTCACTTGACTTGAATTGATCCAAAAAAAATAATTGCAGAGAGACATTACCAGTTTCGTGATCAGATGTAGAAATCATAATCGTGTTCGGCGTCTTGTCCACAAAAGCTTTGACGACTTCTACTGCATCATTATATGCTAATATTTCGAGTACGTGAGCAGCGGCATCGTTTGAGTGACCGGCCATATCTATTCGTGATCCTTCAATCATCAAGAAGAATCCCTTTTCATCTGCGGATGATAGTGAGGCAGTCAAGAGTATTTCTAGTGCTTTTGATGACACTACAAGGACAGAAAAAATATGAACATATTGGTTGAATTGAGACGATGATACCAAAATCTCACTTTCTGCTAACGACGGCTGTGAATTTGTAGCTTTTCGATCGATTTCATAGCTCATATGATCCGGTGTGAAGAGTCCTAGAATCGGTAGCCTAATTGAGTACATAAAGTGTGAGACATGAGGTGGAGAAAAAACAAACAACAAGGCTTAAAGCATTGAGCTTACGGTGACTTGAGATTCAGTGCATCAAATCCATGTTTATCCAGAATCATATTCCAGCCACGTGAAGCAGCCATATTCAATATAGCTAGTGCATCGAATCTGCAGCTGGATGATGACGTGTTTGGCAAGAAATGACAAAGGCCACCCCCAAATGCCAAATCAACTGTTCGACCCAATGAGTAATTGCTATTTGGTCAATGTGAAAAGTTCAGATGAATGTTTTTGGACAAGGAAGCTCCACCGCCAAAAACCAGCATGAAAACTTCCAGCATACCCAATGAGTTGTAGTGCAATATCATTCTCCATATCCCGACTCGACACATGCGTACAGAATGAAGCAGGAGTAGCATGCGTAATCCTTGAAGTAGCAACCAGACCAGTCCTATATCCAGCAATCTTGGCAGCCTCCAATACAGTGCCACATGGCTTTTCATCTGGATCAACCCCTATTGCTCCGTTATATGTTTTGAGAGCACAACTATAGGCGGTTGCACCAGCCGCACTGTCAGTGACGAGCGAAGAAGATGAGCGTGTCCTCACACTCCCAACTTGGATTGTATCAAGTGGCAGCTGATGGCCTGCAGCTAGATTGTGGATTGCAGTGTAATAGTTTCTGGCCATTGTTTGTGAAGCAGGGCCGAATCCGTCCGAGATCATTAGGATTACGTTTCGGCGTTGTGATGCTGTGCAAAGAAGTGTTAGGTTGACGTGGTGATGAGCGATTAAGTGTGATACTTGCATTCAGCGAGCACTTTCTTTGAGTAGACCACAGCTGAGGTGATTATAGCGACGACGGATATACCCAGTACGATGAAGAAGACGGTGACTCGATTGATTTCCTAAGAGAATGAAATTGGGTTATTAGTCTGAAACAAAATGTGTGCGTTTCGATCTCAACCCCAAGCTCACAACTGGGCCGGGACAACGAGCAATAGAATGCAAATATTCGATTTTAACAGGAATATGAAATGAACGTGCCTGTTTCCGTTTGATCGTCCACCATGCATCTTGATGATTCTCGTTATTTTCAAGGAGGTCATCGTTGACCGAGACGATTTGGTCGTCACTGGCCGAGTGAGATACTAATGGCTGTGACGCTTCAGCCATTATTATTAGATATGGGAGCTCTCGCCTTTAGCTTTACGGAGTCCCGCTCTAAAACGTCAGTCCAGATAAGCGAGTGAGTGTGTGAAGTTTGGAAGTTGACGAGATGGTAGCTACGCGTTCACGAATAAATAAACAATCAATATTAATTCAAGGGCACGTGAATTCAACGTGATTGCTACTTCCAAGTTCCTCTTCTTGTCACTTGCATTCTTCTGCTCGCGATTCCAACATTATCTTGAGGCAGAAAAGTGAGGGATTGAGGCCATATACATCCACAGCCATGGTAAGCATCTCCATTGTATCTCATCTTATTCGTATATCTAAGACAAGGAGGATGATTTCAATGTTTACAAGTGTGAATCTCTCTGAACAAACACATGAATAAGAGAACAAACAATAATGAATACTGACTTGATGAAGACTTATACTTGGCACTCATTACATGGCATTCATCGCATCCATCTTGAACTAACCATACAATCGCAACATCTTAGACGGCCACATCAAATGCAGCCAAAAAGACGGTGGGTGCTACTACTGGACATCTGTTGGGTTGGATGATCATATGGCAATTTAATATTCTAAACTGTATTCGCCCCATCCAGGTCATACCGAGAGATGAATGGGACAAGAAACTGGATCAAGTCAAGATCAACAAAAAGTAATCAACAAAGAAAAGATAGGAAGCCCTCCATGCATCGAGCAAACACTCTAACCCTCTACGTCTCTAACCCCTTGCAGTGATTTGAATCGACTTGTAATGAACTACCTAGTCATTGAAGGTTACAAGGACGCGGCCGAAAAGTTTGCAACCGAATCTGGTCTCCCTCCTACTGTCGACTTGGCCCATATCGAAGATAGGATGAATATTCGTAATGCAGTCCAGTCAGGGAATATCGAAGAAGCTATTGAGAGGGTTAATGATTTGGATCCTGAGGTGTGTTGTTGAGGACACATGGACGAATGACAATGCATACTTTTGTTGCCTATATGTTGTGTCTACAAGCCAAAAAAAATGATGCAGTAACTACGATGAATGCTTACAAAGTGCTCTGTAGATACTGGACACAAATCCTAAACTCTTCTTCCATCTGCAACAACAAAAACTCATTGAATTGATTCGAGGTGGTCGTATACTGGATGCTATAGAGTTTGCTCAGGATGAGTTGGCTCCTAGGGGCGAAGAAAATGTAAGATTTGTTGCGCTGCAAATGTATTCGAAAGTCGGGGAAGGAGCAAAAAACCAATGACGAAGCCGTCGTCAGCATGTCCTCGTCGACCTCGCACACCTGGCGTGTATCACATCTAACAATGCTCAAATCGCTATAGCCTGAATTCCTACAAGAACTAGAACGCACAATGGCGCTCCTAGCATTCGACGACCACATCAAATCACCCGTTGGAGACTTGTTGGATTACAGTCAACGGCAAAAGACGGCTTCAGAATTAAACTCGGCAATCTTGGCTGCACAATGTCAAGATAAGGATCCTAAATTACCTACCATGCTAAAGATGTTGGTGTGGGCTCAAGTGAGTTACAGCGTCCAGGACATTGTTTTTTGCCCGCACTTGTACTGACTGACTTTTGTTTTCAACTAGAATCAATTGGATGAAAAGTATACATATCCCAAAGTAAAGAATCTTGTTACTACTGAACTGGAAGATGTTACGCCGATAGAGGATTCAAAGACTAAATGAATGTCTCGAGTTCCTCTTTAAGAATCACCGCCCACCACTCCCATAACCTCCCAATGTTGCTATAATCCGCCCGTTGTATACGACGACAGAATACGGGAGGGTTGCTTTGTGTCTTTTTGTAATTTAGCATGTCAAAAAAATAGTTGTATTTATCGAATTTTACATACAGAATTGTGAATGTGCAAATGAGAATAAAGCTTTCTGTGTGTCCGTGTTATTGATTTAGTGTGTTTCATCACTCAGCAACCAGACAAGCTCCCAGAAGCTATTTGTCCCGCCTCATTCTGAATTCTGAGGAGGATTTGAGCAGCGTTTTGTAACTGTTTCTAGACGGGTTCTAAGAGTGGTTGCATCTCTTCAAACCAGTAGACTACAAACAGATATGAGCAACAAATTCCAAAGAAAACAATGAAAGCGAAGACCTACTCGATCTCAAACGGAGCGCGACAAAGTGTTTAACACGCCCTGCTCTCCCAGCATTATGGTTCTGTGGTGTTGAGAAAGGGTGTGTTAAATCTCAGTCTGGTTGTTCTGCTGTCTCTACATTGTATAGACCGTTTTGTGCATCAGCGGCCTGACATAAACTCACTTTGTCTGGATTTGATTTCTTCATTGTTTTTATCAGCATATCACGACTCGCCCCGCCTCATTCTCGTACTAAACCAGCACTCTGAGCAGCGTCATCAAACAAAACGCATGGAAAATCCCCGGCGAAAAAAGCCTGTTTAGCGCCATCTAAGACCCACATGTGGAGTCGATTCTGCGCGACACCTCACATAGTTGAGAACATATCTGACGAGTTTTTTTGAAAGTACAGCTGTTGAGGAGACTGATTTGTGGTCTTGATGCCAAGGTTTCACTGTTGTATCGTCATCGTGTCGTCGATATTGGTTTCAACGGGTTCAGGCTCATCGGGCTTTGACCTTGTTTTCAAATTGACTTTGTTCCACGGATGGTTGTTTGACACAAGCTGGCAAAGGCTGGATTGGATATCTTGATGCGAGAAAAGTAAGAGCGAGTTGAGGCACAAAACAACGCCAAGGACAGATTGCTAGAGAAGCAAACCATAAGACAACATACTGTCGACTTGCATAAAATGAAACAATATCAAGCTTCTCTTTGGTCAAATTTTAGAGTGAATGCCTTCAGCGAAACACATGTATGCGGCACCCGCCTATACATCAGAAATCCCATCACGACAAATCACATACATGCCACGTTGTCCACCATAACTAACATTTCGGCACTACCCACCAAACAACACCACTAGGTGCCGAGGGAGCCTGCGGCGTTGGTTCCATCAATTCGAGTTTCATTCGTGATGTCAAAATATTAGATCATGGAAATAGTCCACTGACAAGCAAACCGGCTTGTAGTGGTAGAAAGTGAAACAAAATCACCCCCAAACATGAACATTTTGACAATTGGAGTGACTACAATTTGGTGAAAATAGCAGCGTGGAGACGGTCTGTTTGGAATGTGACACGGTTCAGTTCTTTTGTGTCGACATAGGCTTTTCAGATAGGTTTGAACATTTCAACTTTACTCTCTCTCTGAGAAGAGGGCTGTCTTAGAAAGGTGTGAGCGGTAAAATAGCTCACAGAAAAACGAGAGCCTCTGACTCAAGCATGACGCTCACCATCACAGAATTCCACTTCCACACGACAAAGTCGTTCACCACCAGTGGCCTTGCCACCACAACACCTACTCTTCTCCTACTTGCGAATCAATCCAACTTGTCTTCCGTAAATTGCAACCTCATGAACCACCATTTTGACCATACGAGAAAATGAGCAATGAGGATGTGTATGTATGTGACTTGATATGTACAGCAAAATGGTTATCTTCGGCTACGAGTAGACAATCGTTCAGTAGCCGACTCGACTGCCTTTTTCTGATTTTGAGAAATCACTTCAGCAGCTTCTTCCAATTGTTTCTTCAGAGGCTCGAGTTGTGGTTGCATTTCGTCAAACTAAAGTAAGAATGTGAGCGAAAAAAAAAGGTATTGCGCAAAGAACGATGAAATTACTCGTTCTTTAGCAACTTCAAACGCATCACGACGAAGCGATTTGCCCGTTAATGTTTGAGATTCTTCGTGGACTATCCTTTGCCAGTACCGTGTTGTTCTCTCCCAGTATTTGTTTATGAGTTCTACGGTGTTGAGAAAACGAGAGGCAGTGTGAGTAGCCAATTGGCGGTGCAGTTAAGAACATTTTTTAGTCACCTCCAGGTTTAGGATCATTCTCTTCCTCTTCAGCCCTCCTTTGCAATTCTTCAGGCGTTAGTGGTTTGAGTGGCTCTATTATAACTGGTGGCGGTTCTACTATCTCCTCCTTTTCGTAAATGTCCTCGTGTATATCAACAGCTTGAGTGTCTTCATTCTCACTTTCAGACGATTTATCGCCCTCCTCGTCATCGTCTTCATCATCTGAACCATCACTACTACCATCGTCCTCCTCATCATCACCAACCCATGCACTCTGAGCAGTCTCATCAGAAATAACGCATTCCCAACCATCTAGTTTGTCGAGATTTATAGACCATAGGTCGTTTAGGGTGTATTCCTTGTCTCCTGATTCACATATCCCTCCATACCTGTCAGATTGGGTTTGAGTAATGTTTACCAAAAAGAAAACAAAAGAAAACACTGCAAAGCAAACGGATCACTCACATGTAAAGTCGATTCTGCGTAATAGTCAGCATGGTTGAGAATCTAGCTGAAGGTTTTGACGAGCGAATTGGTTCAGGTGATTGTGATGGTGTTGGGAGAGTCGTTGGTTCTTGTGGTGCGGGTGGTTCGAGTAAGGTGTCATCATCTTGTTCGTCTACTTCGTCGGGATTGGCTTCATCGTCATACAGTTCTGGTTTACGCTCTTCGATCTTCCTTTTGGATTTACTCTTTTTAGTAGATTGTTTGATGCCAGCTGGATACCTGTGCGAGTAGTGGAAAAGAGTGAGTGAGAAAAAAAAATGCTTTCAAAAACAAAATAAGTAAACACACATACCATCGATTCCCATCAATTGTATACACATACAAATCATCATGACAAACCGAATCAATCTTTTCTTCAGACTCTTCATCCGACACACCACCAAACATGAATGCCTTATTCTTGTAGCACACCATACTACACCCACTTCGTGGAGGCGTCGGCATAAATTGAGGACGTTTACGACGCTCCCAGCGTATCAGTTTGGGTTCGAGGTTCATTTTCAGTGTCCATGCGTCTGCGATAAAAGAATACTTCATTTGAATCAGTGCGGACGTCCGAGATTCCAACAACAAACCCTTACCATTATAGACATGCCCTTTCGCTTTTTCACCCTTAATGACAGTCTTGCAGTACCCACCAAACAAGATCACGTCGACAGCATTCGTAAATAATTGATGGCCCGAACGGGCAGATGGCTTAGGTTCCATTAATTCAAGTCTCGTCCATGTGTAGTTGGTAGTATCAAAGAGATGTAGGTCGTCGTAATATCGTGTTTCCTTGTACGTATCGAAAAAGCCACCAAAGAGAACAATGTAGTGTTTCCATAGCACCATCCTGTGGCCCGACCTTGCTGAGGGTGTGCCTTTGTAGAGAAGAGGTGTCAGATTGCACGCAAAACGCCCCAGTCAAATTACTCGATGAATCCGATACCTTTAACATCCAGCTTCTCCCACTGATTCGTCACAAGATCATACAACCAGAAATCCTTGTAATGGTAGAATGTAGATTGATTTGGCGACACGAATTCGCCACCAAACATGAATATTTTCCCTGTTGGAGTGACGACCATTTGGTGTGATGAGCGTGGAGATGGCGAGTTGGGCGACGTGATGCGTTTAAATTCCTTCTTGTCGATATTGTATTTATATATAGAGTTGAACATTTCAACCTTCTGGCCTTTTTTGAAACAGAAGTGTTAGGTGTGAAGCCCAAAAAAGCGCTCTGATACATTGCCTGTATCTCACCATCAAAGAACTCTCCCCCAAACATAACTAGTTCATTCATGACAAGTGGATTTGCAAGCATAATAGCGCCTCCTCTTCTAGATGGTGGATCAACCATCTTTTCTTCAGTGATCTGAAACTTGGATTCCTCTTCAGCTTTGAAAGCTCTCAAGATGGCATCTATATCTTCTTCATCATCATCTAGCACGGATTTCTTTTGTTTCCTTGCAGCTTTGGCGACATCTGCGTCCTTTGATTTTGCAGCTGGTTTCTTCTCGCCCGTTGATTTAGCTGCCTTTTTGCGTTTGTCACGTTTGCCCATTTTGGTATAGAGCTATATCTAGAGAGATCCAATGTTTTTTAGAACAGTTGCGGTTTGTATCGGTTGGGCAGTTTTAATCGGTATGATTCCCAAACGCTTTTTTTTTTATGGTCAAAAAGCCTTCCCAATATCGGTCGCCATGACGATCAATCAGCAGACATCAGTACGTACCTGACTGAATATAATCGTGGGTCTTTACAGCATCGCGCTAGCTTATACGAAACAAACACCAACACTAACTTCAGGACCTCGGCGGTTTTGAAGAGTATTTGGACTCACAAGTACACAATGGCAGGACCTACTAGCGGTCAGCTCCTGTACACATTTCCAGCCATTGGACGCGTTTTTGTGCTCTCAAACACGTGGTTTCGTTCACTTTCGCACATGGACTTTTCTACAAAGTCGGCTAGTGCGCATAGCACAACTCTGTGGACAGATCAAGCTACTTTACATTAACTTTGATGTGAATATACACCAGATAATCATCTTACTTGAGCATGGAGTGTGGCTTACGATATCGCATTTGTAAGTTTGCGAATGTTTACAGTCAAGAAGGAAGCTTGTCCTAGTATGCTTCTACCACTGAAAGTGCTACTGTGACGCGTATAGAATATTCGAAAAGATATTTCGCTGCAGGCAGATCATGATGTCCGATTTTACTAATTCTTCTTGATTCAAATTTTCTCCACCAACGATTCACCGTCTCGACGCACTCCAACATCATTGACGCCTTGAAGAGAGAAAGGAGAGCACAGAGAATAATCGAGAGACTGAAAATCATTGCATTACATATATAACATGAGCTCCAGCAATAACACAGCAGGTGCCTCTTCCGGAAATCCAACCAACACTTCCCCAAATTCAAACAAGGCTGCTCCGGCCAAGACTGCGGGCAAGGCTACTGGTGGAAGTCCTACTGTTCGAAGGCAAGCCTCTCTGTACTTGAACTATTTGCGTGCTGTCCAACCATGCTGTTGTCATCTAGACTGACAATCAAAACATATTTTGTAGAATTCAAAAGGAATTGGCTGAAATCAGGTATAAATAACATCTCTTTCTGTCTATGAGCAACATCCGGCTCTTGTTCCCTAAGGAGGATCATGTGTCTGTCACAAGCACAGACGTGTGATTTTGATGTCTGGTTTGCATCTTTCGCATCGATGCTCTACGATATCACTAACTGACCTCGTACTTACTACATCCTAGTTTGGACCCTCCTTCCAACTGTTCTGCAGGCCCCAAAGGTGACAACCTCTACGAATGGGTTTCCACCATCCAAGGACCCGCTGATTCACCCTACGCTGGTGGTCTCTTCTTCCTTGTAAGTTGCATTGTCGTGTTAATGGTGGCTTTATAATAATCTACAATTTCATTGATTGGCCAAATTCTTCACGCAGGATATTCACTTCCCAACCGACTACCCATTCAAGCCACCCAAAGTGTCATTCAGAACAAGGATTTATCATTGCAACATCAATTCAAATGGTGCTATCTGCTTGGTATGTGTTGTGTTTGAGACTTTGAGATTATCTTGAGGGCACTGGTTGTGATGTTTTGCACGTGTCAAAGCTTTTTGCTGACGCACCAACATCAACCTGTAGGATATCTTGAAAGATCAATGGTCCCCTGCTCTTACAACCAGTAAAGTTCTGCTATCCATCTGCTCTCTCGTACGTTTCAACCGTTTTGGGGTTTTTGTATGAATCTTTCACTGACAAATGTTTCTTCAACAAAGCTCACTGATGCAAATCCTCGTATGTTTTGAATGGATTAGTTGCATCACAAGCGGTTCGGTTCTAATTTTGTGTTTGACATTCTCGTTAGATGACCCATTGGTTGGAAGTATCGCTCAACAGTACTTGAATGAGCGAGAAGAACATGATAAAATTGCAAAGGAGTGGACAAAGAGGTATGTGGGAAAAGAATATGGTTTTTGGACTAGTGACAAATATTGGCTTGTAAAGCAAAGTGTTTGTTCTTTCGTGTCTGTAAACGATTTTAACATTGTTTACCATCATTTTTTTTGCAGGTATGCATCATGAGTTTGGAATGTCAAGTGTGTTCAACAGCAGAAAATGTATCAAAAGCCCATATGACTCATTGTATCAAAACCGAGAAGAAATATCCTTTATATTATAATGTTATCATCAAAAGTAGGCACTGTGAATACAAAATTGCATTATTAGATAGTATCAAGTCAGTCGGCGATTATTTCACCCCCAATCACTCCAAAACTTTTGGATTGACTTTATTGAATTGCGACGCAAAAGGGCAGCAAAGATGATACAAACCCCAATAGAGGCAAAGGAGGAAGTCAAACGTGTAATCCGTCCACGGGATGCCTTTTTGCCAAATATCAATCGCTCACCGTCACCAGACATGACTTCTAAAAACAATAACAATGTTAGTCAGAATCCAGATACTGTCTCGTCCTTTTTGGGGCAGTTGGAGAGGATTAGGAATATGTTGAAGACTAGAGAGAATGAGATTGCGAGGCTGAGACAGGAGAATGCTATGCTTAAACAGGTATGACGGATGCATATTGTCCATTTGTTTGGCATGATTTTCTAACTATTGATTTTGCTGTTAGGTTGAGAGAAGACAACGTAAAGATATCGAGCATTTAGAATCTCAGACTGAAGATGCACCTAGAATTATCAATGGGTTGAGGAATGAGGTTACAGGATTAAAGGCATGTTGTTCATGCAGAAAAAAGTCCATTATAATCCACCACATTGCAATTCTGACATTCCCTATTTCGAAACTAGATCAAACTGAAAGCATACTTCGTCCAACACACAGCAGACGCCCGCCAGCTTCGTCTAAACTCCGAAGACCTATCTCGCCTCAAAAGCGAAAAGGCCAAACTCGACACCCTCATCGCAGCAGAAGACCTCTCAACTCGTGACGATTTAGAAAAGAAGCTGGAAGACGTTATTGCAAAGCTCGGTGAACGGGATGTGGAATTGGCGGATTCGAAAAAGAAGGCAGACTTACTGGATAAGAACCTTAATGCCGAGAATCGGTTGTTGAGAGCTCGTGTGCATACGCTGGAGACTGATGGTGCGATGATGAAGGATTTGCTGGAGAGGACTGAAGAGGATGGCAAGGTAACAGTTGCAATAGATTTGTTGCACAAGGTCTTTTTTTTTTGAATTTATTTATGATTTACTATGCAAGACCCGCTGACCATGGTTTATTTGATAGGAAAAAGACAAGGAAATCGCCAACTTGAGTATATACCGATACAACATGGTTCACAAGAAACCTGAAGGTCCATGCAAAGTTTGTGCTAAACGGGAGAGGCAGGAGGTGGAGGCTAAACGACGTCAAGGCATTCTCGGTAAAACCGATATCTTTTTCCTCGCTCCTGGCCGTTTACTCACAGTTGTTTCACATACCAGAAACTCTACCAGTCTTATCGACACCAACCACAACAGTAACAAGTGCTACGTCCGTCAAAGTCAGCGCTACAATTACATCATCAATACCAGTTGGCGAAGCGTCTCTCCGTGTAGTGTACTCGCAGACGCCTATAACGAGTATAACGAGTGCTACACCTACTGTGGTTTTACAAGCAGACCAAACAGAGTGGACTGCGGAAGTCACCGAATTGGAATTTGGAAGATCGTACTATTTCGGAGTGTTTGCTAGTCGTGATGGTGTGAATGGTCCTATCCATGCTTCGGAACTCGTTTATGTTGGTATGTAGTTTGAGTTGAAGCATACCAAAAAAACCTTTATGAATACGGATGAATTGACAATGAATCGTTGATTAGACGCCATACCATCAACACCACAACCCCCCTCAATCATCCCAAGACACACAACACCTCCAACCATGCTCATTAGAATTCTAACAAACACGGAATACGTTGGCACACCGATTGCCAAATACCAAGTATACAAGTCGACGCAGCCGACATTACAAGACGCCATCTTGTTGACTGAATTGAATGTCGATGATCTTGTTGAATCCGAAGCTGGTGCAGCCAAAGTTGAAGAATTCGATTACGTGGATTGTCCGTTGGCTATACCGTTTTATTTCGGTGTTGTGGCTTTTAATGCGTGTGGTGCCAGTTGTATGAGTGAAGCTAGTCATGTTGCTGTACTTGGTAAGCATTCTGATACTATGCTGCTTTTTTTTCTCAGTGGACATTTACGTTTTTTTCATAGATCTCCCACCAGCAATCCCAACACAGCCAATCCCAAAGAAATCATCCCCAACATCCATCAACCTGCACATGTGCACACCACCAACCGGAGGCTCGCTAGCAAACACATTCAGAATCGTTTGTGAAGCGCTCACAGCATCCGACCAAGTCGACGAATCATCCATCCGAGATTTGCAAATCACAAACATCACAACCCCATCTGCATGCCACACCGAAATCCAAAATCTAGACCCGTCCACAAACTACCGATTCCAAGTATATGCTAAAAACTCAATTGGTTGGTCCCCGGCATCGGCATACAGCAATGTCATCAAATTAGAATCAATGATTCCACCAATCCCAACACCAAATGCTCGTGTCTTGTCACCGACAACGGCAATTGTTGAATTCAAGACGCCTGATTCTGTGCCATCTAATGTGGTGGTTGATGGGATACGGGTTTATTCGTCGAGTAGTGTGGATATGGACGATGCTAAATTGGAAGCTACTGTTGCGTTTGGGGAGAGCGAATGTAGATTAGAGTTTGCGCAACGTGGTGCAGTATTGTGGATTTCGGCTTGTCATGTTGGGGGTGAGGTTGAAGGGGAGAGGACTGTACCTGTGTTTTTACCGTTACCAGGTATGTTGTTGTGTGTTGTGAAATGAACTGTTGCAGTTACCATACTGGAATCATTGGTTCTTTTTTTTGACCATCATGCTAATCGCATTATCATTTCCGCATAGCCGCTCTACCAATCCCAGCATCACCACCATCAACACCCTCCCAGCTCGACGACACCACCTCTACACCACCCTCCGCACCAACAACCACAACATCAATCCTCTCCAAATCAAATTACCGCTCATCCTATCTCCACGGCTCACAATCAGCACTAGACGCTTCACCACGCGGATCACTGGAATCCATCTATCAAAAGAATGCTGCCAAATCCAACTCACACAACAAGACACGCAAGACAAGACTGGATATTCCACCACCAGCGAGATCAGAGACTACGGGAGGTTTGAATCGTGGTACTATGGGGACGAAATTGAGTAATGCGAATTTGAAGAGTAGTTCTTCTTTGCATGGGAGCTTGAGTTCTGCTACGAATGGGAAGAGGTGATCTTGTTGATATGACACGAAGGACTCCGACTTGCATTTTGTATATTTTTTGGTTGAAAAAAAAGTACAACAGTTGATTTGATATATTAATTGTGGACTTGTTTTGTGGGTGATTTTAGAGCGTTTCGAAGGGAAAGTGCGCGTTATAGCTGCGATCGATAGCTTCATAAAGCTCCTGACCTCACGTTTTCGTTTGAACTTTTGTGATACATCGCTTACTTCGTCAAAAGCTTTCTCATTGGAGTCTTTGAAGAGGTACGAATCATTGTGATTCCATTCCTAGGACCTTAAATTATACAATCTACTTCACGATACCTTGAATCGTTTCATTCGTGCATCATTTTGCTGAAAGTAGACACAACGTTTTGAATCAATGTTTCTCGTTTAACGTGCAAAATACGACCAATACTAACTGAAGCTCGATTTATTTACTACGTCTAGATACCCTGAAAGCCACCAATGGAAGAAGGAGAGTACGGCTACGGCACAACCGAAAAAGTAATCTATGGACGCCCATTCGCTCCAGAAGTAGTCCGTTTCGCCAAACTGAAAAGGGCATCACGAGTATTCATCCTCGCATCGAAAACCCTGGACGCAACAACCGACGTCGTAGCCCGACTACGCAAAGAACTAGGTCCACTATTCGCTGGCCAGTTTGTTGGAATTGGTGAACATACCCCGAGACAAGATGTTGTTGATGCAACCATAAAAGCACGGGAATGTGGAACGGATTTGCTGGTTGAGATTGGCGGGGGCAGCGTCACTGATGCTGGGAAGGCGATTATTATCGCATTGGCGAATAATGTGAAGACGTACGAGGATTTTGATGCTTTGAAGCTAAAGAGGGGAGCTGATGGAGTGCAGGTGCAGAATATTGCTGCGCCGAGTATACCGAGTGTTTGTGTGCCTACGACGTTGTCGGGGGGAGAGTATACGGGTATTGCGGTATGTGTGGTTGTGGTTGGAATTCTTTAAAGAACTTCCAATGATTCTTTTTGGCTTGTTTTTAGGGAGTCACTGATACACGAAAGAGACAGAAGCAATCGTTTACCCATCCAATGGCTACCCCGAAGCTGGTGATTCTTGATTCTGAAATCACGGTACATACGCCACAGATGTATTGGGTATGTTCGAATGTGTTTCTTGAATCGTCATACTCCAGCTGAGAGATTTTGCAGAACAAGCTTCTCATTTGTTTGCATAGATATCAACAGGTGTCCGCTCAGTCGACCACGCAATCGAAACACTCGGAAATCCCAAAGGAGGTCCAACATCCGATTTAATGGCCTCTACGGGGCTTACGAGACTCGCTGAAGGACTGCTACGATCTGTGAAGGCGCCTAATGATATCAAGGGGCGGCAAGATGCTCAGTTGGGGTCTTGGATGGCTACAATGTAAACGCATTGAATGAATTCAGCAAGTTGAAATATGTATCTTTGTGCTCATCGTTTTTTGCATTAGGTCTATAGCAGGAGGCATAAATATGGGCGGCAGTCATGCGATCGGGCATGGTGAGTCCTGCTTCGCTATTATGATTTTTTTGTCTTTATACTCACTTCTCACATCGCTTATGTACTAGTTCTCGGTGGCGTCCTCGGCGTCCCACACGGCTACACATCCTGCATAATGACTCCATACGTCCTCGAATACAATGCCAAAAACGCACCCTCCATAATACCGCGCCAAAAAGCTATCGTCAAGGCCCTCTTCGCATCAGAAGCATTCAGCACCGTCGCATCACAAGCTGGATTGTCACAATCTACCGCAACTGCAGCACAATGTGCTGATTTGCTGATTCGTAGTTTGGGAATGCCGAGAAAACTGTCGGCACCAGAGATTGGTGTTACGAATCAAGATGATTTGAAGCGGGTTGCGAAGGGTGTGCTGCATGATCATTGGGCTGCTACGAACGCGGTGCCGTTGGTGAGGGAGGAGCAAGTGATGGAGATTTTGAGGATGGCTGCATAAAAGCAACATATTTTAGACGTCAGTGAAAATCTGAAGTTTTTATAACAGTCTGAATGCTTGAGAGGTTACAAAAGGCCGTATATAATTGTTTAGGTGTTTTCGGTAGTGTTTTTTGGACCAAGCGGATTACAAAAGGCTGCCTGACTTGAAAAGTCCCCGTTTCTTTAGTATGACGGCGAATTTGATGATATCGTTGGTGAAGAGTTCTGGTTGTTCCCAGGATGCAAAGTGGCCGCCGATTGGGATTTTGGTGTATGAGGCAATGTTGTGGTTTGCGTCTAGCCACATTCGTGGCATGCGGAGCAAGTCATCAGGGAAATCTGATAACCGAATTTGTTAGATTTGGTTGAACGGTGGTGAAAGGATTGTGAACGATCTTACATGCAACTCCAACTGGTACAGTGCAATAGTCTAATACAAAACCAAGCAAATGTTAGATTGAATCAAATATTGTACACCACATCCATCGATTCTTTTGGCTACCTTTAAAGTACGCAAAGAATGGCTTGGACTCCTTGTAGATACGAACAGAGCTTCCAATACAGTTCGTCATCCAGTACATAGTCAGATTAGTCAGGAATTCGTCCCGTGTGATGTGTGGGTTTGGTTGTCCGAATCCAGTCCATGCGAGTAAACCAGCTAAAACGACGAAATCAGTTATGTGTTAGATAAACTCGGATCCTGAAGTACGAAAAACATACTTGGAGAGTCAGCCAATCCATATGCAAGAGTCTGAGGCTTTGTAGCTTGCATCTGGTAGTATCCTAAAAATTGCACAGTTTAAATGGGTATTCGAACTAATCGCTTGAAATGTAAAAAAGACTCTTACCAGTTCCTTGAGATTGCCACTGCTTCATGAAATCAAGTCCAGCAACTTCGTCTTTCGAAAAGATCAAGTTTGGATTGACCATCATTACAAGAAGGGATGGTATGTTACGGAGGAAGGTAGGTGAGGATGCTATGAAGTTCGTGTGCCTAACAGTTGGACAAACAGCTTAGCTTACTGTCCTGCAACGGAAAACCGCGAACGAAGCCTCTTACCATGCAACACAATTCTGAGGATACTTGACAGCCATCGTTCTCGTAATAGGAGAGCCCCAATCACCCCCCTGAGAGATATACTTTTTGTATCCGAGAACATTGACCATAAGCTTGTTAAAGATCTCAGCAACACGCTCAGCGCCATTGCCAGTCTTTACAAATGGCGACGAGAATGTAAATCCCGGGATACTTGGAATGACTACATCAAACGAGATCTTGTCATTTCCTTCTGCTAGAATGGGACCTGATTTGTAGTGCTCAAAGAATGATCCTGGCCTAAATGAAATGGGTAAATCACTCGTTGTCACATCGGCCAATTAATCACGCAAAAACAGGTGGCTATGGTGTAAACCACAGAAGCATTCTGTGCAAAATCCAATAACGTAGATCAACTGAATTGTACACGAAACTGCTACACCTACCAGCCGTGAGAGATAATAATGGGAATGGCATTCGGTTTTCCCGATTTAATGTGCACAAAGTGCAAGTCAATTTCGTCGATCTGGACCTTGAAATGTGGAAGCCTGACGATATCGTTAGGAGATGCACGTAGCGAGAAATAGCCGACACATCTTTCTCACTTGTTTAGCTTGTCCACCCAGCTCTTGTAATCGTACGATTCAGCCCAGTATTTGATGGTGTCTTGGACAAAGCGCTTTTCAAGACCTGTATACAATGAGTGTTAGTGTATAATGCGCGGATACGCGAAAAACTTCGGTAAAAAAAGGCTCGTGAAGCAGCATCGTCTCATCAGTCATCAGGTTGAGTTTCAACATACCATAGTCAGCTGCAGCGTTCTCTAATTCATCAGGTAGGCGAGTAGCATTAAGACGTTGTCTGAGATCTGCTACGGCAGCCTCGTCGTATGGGATTTCAAATGTTCGAACCGACATCTTCTTATGTTGTGATACTGGGGGTGTTTTGAAACGAAGAATTAGACAATACAGCTAAAGTTGCAATCGGTCGCTCCTAGTCAAGGACACGTAATCAGACAACGCGATGGCACGTATGGAGCTGATGGATCTCTCTGCCACTGAACTGGCGGAATTGGTACGTTCTTGCACACAGCGTGGATTTTGTAACCCCACTGTTTTTGACTCCTGGTTTTATCATTCTAACTGGTCTCGCGTAGATTCATTCTAGGAAAATAACACCTATCGACGCTGTTGAGGCTTCTCTTGCCAGAATCCGCCAGAGGAATGGGTATGAAATCTGCAAAATCAAATGCAACTAAGCTACACATCTGACGCGGTTTGTCGAGTAGGCCGATTAATGCAATAGTCCACGTCTGTGAAGAAAGAGCGCTTGCTGAAGCCAGAGCGTGGACAGAGAAGCAACAGCGTGGCGATCTGCTTCCCATATGGTACTTCGAGGTGTAATTATTGTCTCTTGTAAGCCAGACGCTCACGAGAACCCGTTTGCAGGTGTGGAGTCCCGATAGCCGTCAAGGACCTTGAAGATGTCAATGGCCTGCCTACTTCATTTGGGTATCCACTTTGCCGACCATTGAGCTTTCCTGTTCCATGTCATCAACCAACCCGTCCTGTAGAGCAATACCATACAAGGACAACATCGCTACAGAAGACTCGCCTCAAGTAGCACGACTAAGGAAAGCGGGCTGTATCGTGGTGGGCAAGGCCAATGCACCGCTGTTTGGCAATTCAACACATTGCAAGAACCTGTTGTTTGGACCTACCAGGAATCCTTGGTCTTTGGAACTAACATCTGGAGGATCATCTGGTGGAAGTGCTGCTGCTGTTGCTGCTCGGATCGTTCCCATAGCGACAGGCGGTGATGTATGTTCTTGACCTCTGGCAAAAAAGTACCAGCACTTCTCGTCATCCAATGTGCATGATCTAATAGGTACCGCTCTTGTCACTGCTCATTTAGGCTGGAGGATCTCTGCGAGTACCTGCTTCGTTTTGTGGGATATGTACCATCAAGCCTACATTTGGACGTATACCAGAAACAGAGAATGGCACAATGTTCAAAATGCAAAAGGTATTTGCTTCGACTTTAATTATACGATCGGGCTTTTTTGGCTATAACCAGTTCCCATTAGTTTGTGGACAACAATCATTTCGGGCCATTGGTAAGAATTGTAGCAAACACCAAAACGGGTTGTCAGAGCTCACGCCAGACTCTGTTTAGGCGAGAAGTGTAACTGATGTTGCCACATATCTCGACATTACTTCGGGCTACCACCCAAACGACCCCAAATCCTTACCAAATCCAACGGTTTCCTACCGAACGAGTTTGAAAACACCACGTCCCAAATTACGTATTGCGTATTCTTCAACATTGGGCATAGTACCCGTCGTGGAGCCCTTCATAATGGAAGCGATGGAACAATGCATCAAAGTGATTACAGGCTTGGGACATATTGTTGAAAGGCCAAACCTTGTATTTCCGGAATGCACTTCTCTGTGGGGAATTGTCATGGGTGCTCAGCTAGTAGCGTGAGTACAGCCAAATTTTATCTCTTTATTGTATCAAGCTTTGATACTATATCTCTTTTTTCGTTGTCATAGAACTGTTTCAGAGGCAGTTAAAGGCAAAGAAGCACAACTCGACAAAGGGCTTGTCGGTGGTTGGGAAATGCTCAAGACGGTTCCGTTGCAGGAGATGGGGAAAGTTGGAAGGTGACTTCGCCTATTCTTGATGTGAAATACTGTGAGATTTTTTTCTCATGATTCGCTCGTAGACTCATCAAACAAGTAAACGACACCATTCGACGGGATTTGTTTCCCGCTGATGAAGATGATATACGAGGATATGATATCTGTAAGATGCAGGACGTGTTTCCAATTTTAAGGTAGCCTGCCACCTAACCTATTCTCTTGCTTCCAGTAATCACCCCCGCCATGCCAATGGACCCTTTCCTTGCAAACGGAAAGCACCCCGACACTGTGAGTGGAGTTGAAGTCGAGCCATCGTTTCCAGGGAACATGTACGGAACGATGATACCATTCAAGTAAGCTGTCTTTTCAGTAAACAGCCTTTGGGAATGGGATGAATTCTGACCTGCTTTACACAGTTGGGCTGGTCTACCTGCCGCTGTTGTGCGAGCTGAGACGCTTTCGCCACGTGGATTGCCAATTGGACTACAGATTGTCGGTCCAAAGTTCTCAGAGCAGGCTGTTTTGGGGTTGGCATATGGTATAGTCACTAACGCTACAGAATGATGCCTTGGTTACGATAGTACTGAAACATTTCTTTATAGAATATGAGGTTGCTACTCAGTGCTTCAAGACGTGGCCAAAGTCTGAAGATTCAGCTGCACGGCTGTGAGTTGATTCCATTTCAGTGAATTTGCTTTACTTGAAAATAGATTAGATTGGCTCCTTTAATCTTTATAGTATTCATTTGATCTTGATGAATGCTCAGCGAACTGTCACTGTGTACTCCGTTTAAGTTATTGTTTTGGTCTTCACGCAAGCGGAACTGTAGCATCCCCAAGCGCTTTTTAGGCTGCAATCAAAGTCTGAACATACTAAAACAGCGGCATACGCGTTCTGGCACGTTCTCACATAGCTTTAAGAGACCTGCACGGGTCAAGTCTTGATGTGGTTTTCTCAACTCCCATTACCCACGTTGCGATAAGGGAGCTGATAAACACCCAAGAACGAGCCTTGCTGTAGATAGCCAAGCAGGCCAAATACCTAATCCATTGCCATCTACCATTTATGCCATCCATCTTCTCTGCAGCATTCACTCGATCGGCAACTTTTATTAGCTGACAGCTTGGAAGTCGCTGTTTTCAATAATAAAATGGACACGAATCCGGATATGACGCATGTGTATGTCATGTACTCGATCCTTGGCGGCTTTGTTATCTCCTTTGGGCTGGTCTCGCTGGTTGTCAAGGTACTACTTACGGGGGGTTCAAAATTCCAAACATGTGAATTTTTGACGTCCGATCTGATCTTTTGTTAATCGAATCATCATCATTTGTTTAAACAATCAGGATCGATTATTCTTGAGCGACGCACTCGTCGCCACGATTCTCGGAATCATCATTGGCCCCATATGTCTCAACATATTCAACCCTGAAGCTCTCTTTGGCAAGGACTCGCTAGACGGCGTCACTCTTGAACTCTCACGAGTCGTCATCGGTATACAAGTCATGGCTGCTGGTGTGTCTCTCCCCGGCGACTATCTATGGAGAGAACGAGGACCCCTCTTTTGGCTGCTTGGACCGGTCATGATCTATATGTGGGTTGTAACTGCAATAGGCATATATCTCATATGCGGAACTAGTGTGCTAGAGGCACTGACTATCGCTGCATGTGTGACGCCAACCGATCCAGTGTTATGTAACTCGATTGTCAAGGGTCGGTTTGCGGAGAAGCGGGTGGCATTGTCTGTACGGCTCCTGTTGTCTGCTGAGAGTGGTGCCAATGATGGATGTATGTGCTTGTTATGATACTGAGAATGGCCTCATATTGCGTTGTTGACCGTATTTTTTTGCGATTAGTGGGCTATCCCTTTCTCTTTCTGCCACTGTTTCTGATGTAAGTTACCAATATCGCCATCATTCGAACCGTACAACACTCATGATCAACTCTTTACAGGAAATACTCGACTGCTGGGGAAGCCATTGGACAATGGATTGCACGTGTAGTCCTGTATCAGATCGTCTTGTCGGTAGTCGTCGGGATTCTAGTCGGAGCTGTAGCCCGTAAAGCTCTCAAGCATGCTACCAATCGTCAGTGGATTGATAAAGAGAGCTTCTTGGGGTTCTCGATTGCTTTGGCTGTATTCTTGATGGGCACCATGTCATTGGCAGGCAGTGACGATATTTTGGCTTGCTTTATCGCTGGGAATGCGCTTACTTGGGTAGGTTTTATGGGGAATGATGATATAGTGGGCAACGTCATGTTTGGGAATGTGCTTTCTCAAGTATAGGGGAGAATATACGGCCACGTCATCTTGCTAAAAACACGTATCTAGTGGCGGACTTATGATCGAAAGTTATCAGTTGTACGATTACTATCATCAGCTATTCATCCTTCCTTATCTCCACTTCACCATAGGATCAATGGCTAAACGAACGCATTGAACAGACCTTCTTCCAAGAAGTTTTAGACTCGCTGTTTAACTTGTCGTATTTTGTATTTGTTGGAGCTCGGATTCCATGGTATATGTACACCATGTATTACGACCAAATCAGCTATTGGAGGATGATACTTTTGGCTCTCTGGGTCTTGGTGCTGAGACGTGCACCTATCCTAATGGCTGTTTATAAACTGGTACCTACGTTAAAAACTCCAATGGAGGCCTTCTTTGCTGGGTAAGCTTGATTGGAGGACTTGTTGAAATTGGAATTTGAATGAATCCATGTGCACCAAAGAACAAGTGCTGATCTCGTATGCCTGAACACACCGCCCGCATTCCTGACTTCCTTCTGTTAGGTTCTTTGGACCAATGGGTGCCTCGGCATTATTCTAGTAAGATATTCGAAAGCGTGTTGAGCTTATGGTTAATTCGGTTTGAAGCACATTCGTCAAAGAATTGTTGCTATGGTGGGAAGACGCTTACAGTTGATGTTCACATCTGTTTTTTTAGCGCTATGGTCGCCAAAATATACCTCGGAGACACACTACCCATCTTATTCCCAATAGTTGACTTCATGGTTCTATCATCCGTAGTCGTCCATGGAGTCAGCGTAAGTGACCATTATGCCACTTCAAAATTGTTCATTTAAAAATCAGCATCTCCAACATTATTCAATAGGTCCCCTTCTTCCACCTCGGTTTGCAACGTGCCGAAACATACACATCATGGTCTCGCGGCCGCCGCACAAACTACTTTATGCCCTCCTTCGAACCATACGTCCCACAATTCTTCCGCCCATTCGCCAGATTCGTAGTCGGGCACGATCACGTCTTGACACCACCAGGCACACCATTTGAATTGAGTAGAGAAAACTTGAATGATGTCGAAGACAATCCTGCATTGAATAAGCCTGTGGGGGCTCGTAGTATTGCTGATGAGGTAAATGAAGAGGTGGAGATTTTGTCTACTGCTACGACTCCTCCATCGCCTACGTCCACGTTATCAAAAAAGTCGCCTTTGTCGCCGAGGAGTAAACGCGTCACGCATGCTATAGATGGTGGTGCTTCAGATGCTGATACGGGGGATTTGAGTACGTTGCCGTTGAGTCAGAGTGATACGGATCGGAGTGGAGCTGTGTCGTTGACACCACATAATAATCAGTAGAGTGAATTGATTAGTCGTGAGTTGGTCATGTATAAATAGATTGTTTGTATCAGGGCCTCTTGTCATTATTTGTCATATATACACACTGGTGTTGTGTGAAATATAGAATTATACCTTAGATTCGTTCACAATGCTTGTGTGTTCCATGCTGTTTTTCGGCGTACTTTGGGCGTTCATTTTAGTTGCATCAAGCTTAACCAAACTTTCAATCAGACCACAATGACTCTCAATTGCAAACTATTCCTGTTATATATAAGCTATTTTGCATATCTACAAGTAAACATCGCTACACTCCAAATATACATGCCACAACAACCTTTCATGCCAAAAATAACATCATCAATATAGTCCTTTATGCAAAAGCGAAACCAGTGGATCCATGCCTGATCGCAATCAATAATTTTTCTCGGAACTGTGGTGTAAAACCAAAAATTATTTGAGGAAGACCTGGACTCGTACGGTGGTTTAACATACCTGTGCTAGACTCGTATATGCTGGAATCTTCAACGTGTTGAAGCTAATATGGGAAACAAATTTCAGGATTTGTACCAAACTCCCAACCACAACAACCTGACACAATTCCAATAATTTCAAATCGAACATCTACAACAACCAAAAAAAAAAAAACAATCTCTCACACATCACAACTTACCAAGTCGAAGCAGTTGGCAGCTTATTCCCCTTCTCATGCACCAACAACATAATCACAAACCCAGAATCTCCACCCATAGATTCCATTTGGGCAACGCTGGCTGGTGGTCTTGAACTTCCCGTGGCGAATTTCAATAGTAATGACCGTTCATCTTGTGATAATTCGTCGACTATCGTCCAAAACCAGCGTTTGATTTCACTGTGTATGGCTGTGAAGAGCTCGTATCTCGTGTTGGCCTTCCAGTCTTCAATGTCGATTGTGGCGTTACCAGACATCATGATTTCTAAGAAACACATGTGTCAGCATTTAGGAACGTTTTTTTAAGAGTTTCAAGATGTGATTTTGTACCTAGCTCTGAAGGTTGAAGAAGGTCGAGGATGTCTCGTGGTACTACTGATGTGAAGCCTGCGAATTAGGAAGAAGAAAAGTCAGCCAAATAATGCAGTAGTTGCATTGCATCAAGGCCATACGGCAAGCAATAAATCACACAGCTCTCAATAGTACACAGCAGTCATCACATACCTTCTCGGAACGCATAAGCCTTCCTCTTACATATATCCCTCTTCCGATTAATACGCAAATCTATATAACCTTGCTTATTCATATGATTCACTGTCTTATTAGCTCCACCCCGCACCAACTCGACAGTATGACGTTTGCCAAAAGCATCGACCTCATCGGTTTCAAACGTCATTTCGCTTAAAAGCGCGTCATCAGCCTCCTCCAATATAAAATTAATTGATTTCCAAAACGTAATATCAATCAACTCCCAATCAGCAGAGGTGACTTCCTTGTTCAGTATAGTCTTGTAGATTGCTGGAGACAAGCATCGGCCGGTAAGACCTAGTTCTACTTTCGGGGTGATGAACATGATACCCATCATTCTTCCTACTCGTTTAGCTAGTTCTGTAACAGGTAGCGTCGCCAAGCCGTCGACTTTGCTCTTTACAACGTCGGGAGAGAAGAAGGCTAGTCCTTTCCCATCACGACTAAAGAGTCCGAGCCTTTCGTCCAAAAACAGCGGTGCAAGGGTATCATAGAATTCTCTAAATATCAGAAGAAAGAAAAGTTGAATAACCTTGGGAAAAAAATAACACAGTCTCATCAGAGTCCACAATGCTCGTCATATTTACCTCGTCACACCAGGTCCGATTCCATCCTCTCCAGCAAACTGAATACTGAGCTCTGGTCGACACGAGCCCCATTTCAAAGCCCCATAATACGGAGAATCAGCTCGTGGAGAATCATAAGCAGCAAAGTCACAAGCACTTGTCATCAAATTAATACCTCGTTTGACATTCGAAATAGATGCACTGAATGGCTTCAGCAAGGAAAGCCGGTGCTGTATATACAGTCGCTTGTTCTCCAGACTGATTAATCCCGGTATGGATAGCAGCCACTTCAAATCATTCGAGTGCAGACGGCAAATGTTGGTGGTAATAAAGGTGTTTAAAAATACAAATGCACTCGGTTTGGTAGCTAGTGACCTAATCAACTTTCCTACGAGTGGTCGGGTAGCTGATGAAGCGAGCAAAGTACTCATGTGAGACAACTGGTACGGGCTGGCTCTCAATAATCTAACAATAATGTCTTCATCTACAGATCCACCTTCTTCGTCTGGCAAAGAGGGCGTGTTGTCGTCAGCGTTATCGAGCTCGAGGTCATGGACTTGATACGGGTTACTACGTCCGCTATCATCGTCCGAGTCACTTTCTTCATACTGTAGACGTGGCTTATGCGGACTTAGAACACCCTTCCTAGCTTGTTCTCTGAAGAAGGCGTACAGTAAAGGGCTAAACCCCTCACTAAAGCATTGCAAAAAATGAGATAAATCTCCAGCTGGAATGACCGCATGCGCAATGCAGACAACCTGACATACTTGTCCAAAACATCCGCTTTAAACCCAGCCTCAATCAACGTCAGCACAGTATTCGGAAGACCAGACACAGCGGCATAGTGCAAAGAAGATCTACCATTCTCGTCTGCAATAGAGACAGGATCAGTTTTGGCTCCTGCATCCAAAAGCTGATGTACCATAGACGATGCAGCCTGATCCCAAGCAGAGTCGTCAACAGTATTCGGTGAGAACTCTAAATCCTTTTCAGAGTCAATCCAGACTTGACCAGATTCAGCTTCTTCCGCTTCATCACATCCAGAAGCATATAGTAGTGCTGTGTTTCCAAAATCATCTCTATCGTCCAAAACACCAAGACGCTCATGAGCAGAGTCTGAGATCCATTTTATAAGATTCTTCAGAGTCTCTGAAGCAAATATTCCTGCTCCTCGAGTAACACTACGGCATGCCATATGGAATGCGGTTCGACCATTTGTATCTTGATCAGTTGGATTAAAGCCTGCTCTTAATAGCTCGGGTATTGCATCTGCATTGCCACGAGCAGCCGCGATATGCAGCAAATTATAGTTGCACGCCGGAGTATACGGAAACTCGGCATCGAGTTTCTTTGCGTTCTTGAGCAAGAGTTTAAGTATTTCAACTCGTGATTCAGACAAACAAGCAATTCCAATGGGTGTTAACCCACCAATATCGACGGTGGTCAACCATATTTCACGAAATGCTTTCGTCTGCTTCGTGTTGAGTAGTATCTCTACTATATCTGGTTGATCGTATGCTACAGCGTAATGCAGAGGGGTACGTATTTTCGTATCTACTACATTGGGACGAGCTCCTTTGTCTAGCAAAGCCTTGAGAAGATCCGCCATTCCATACTGGCAAGCATAGCTACAAAGAATGAGATCAGACTTAGGAGGGCAAAAAACGAGGGGTCAATGTCGGTTAGCGACTTACTGTATCGGATAACACAGAAAATCTTCACAATGGGGCACATTCACATCGGCCAAACTATCCAGATAGTTGACTGCTTGATCTTCCAAACCAGCTTCTTGGACCAAGGTTCGTAAATGTGCGGCTTCACGGAGGGGAATATTCAATGCTTCCTTTTCAGGATCGCATTCATGACATATCCACTTCTTTATGTCTTCTTTATTGGTGAAGCCGAAACAACCAGCGTGCTGTTTCTTGCGACAACGATTGCAAACCATCTTGAGACCTAAAAAAATGAAATGGTAAAGTCAATACATTTTGCTCTCCAACAGTCCTCAAACGTCAACCAAGCGTACCTTTAAAATCGTCATAGCTGGCTGCAACACCACAAATACAGGAAAATAATTCGGTACCTTCACGTCCGATCTCGTTATCCGAGACCGCAAACTCGTCATCTTGATTTTGAGCCTCAAATTCGAGTTCATATCGACTAATAGATTCTAATGATTCTGCTTCTGAAGAATCCTTGTCGTTTTCTTGGTCACCATCTTCAATATCGTCACTAGATTCAACTTTGCCCAAGACTCTCTTCACAAAGCTGGGTTTAGAATTCCTTCGACGTTTGGATCGGCGACTAGTTTGATCCTCCGACTCGGGTTCTACATCATTTGATGCCTCAGTCGAAAGCTTTAGGTCTTCAGCATCAGCCTGAACCTCCCAATCCTCTTCTATAGTCGATCGTCGTTTCTTGTGCTTCTTCTTTCTAGGCTTGGGTTCTGGAGACGGTGATTCAAGATCAGAATTGTTATCTTCCACATCCTCTTCTTCGTCAATGAATTCGTCATCCTCATCGTTTGCATATGTCTCATCTTGTCTCTCACTAGTTTTGGACTGCGTCAAAAAAAACCGCCAGCCAATCAAAAGCATGGTTCGTTCCCACCTTCTATATGAATTCCCTTCATAGACAAATCTTGTAGCTTTAGTGAGTGGAGCTCTTGGTACACTAGGAGTCCTTTAGGAGGGGAAAATGATGTAAAATTTGAAAGTTTCTGAAACCGCAGAACTTAATTTCCAACCTTTTAACTGGCTTCTTCTTCTTCGTGACGACATCTTCCTCGCTACTCCCATTATAATCATTATCGTCGTCAGAATCGACTTTTCTCATAGTTTTGTTGGCCTTGTCAGTCTTCCATTCCTTGAATGACTGAGACGATGCTAATTTATTTCTGACTCGTTCACGGCGTGACGACATTTTGATCGGCGTGAAATCATCACTACTATCGGCTATGAGTGTAGGTGGTGCCTTCTTCTTATCTTTCACGGTTTTAGATGTAAAGGTGATGCTGTCACTTGACTCTATATCGTCCTCCTCATCTGAAACTATTCTACGAGGCTTTTTCCGTTTAGCTCGCGACGAAGAGATTATAACTGGCTCATCGGTGTCCTCATCCTTCTTCTCATCATCACTATCATCTAACACGATTTTGGGTATACGTTTCCGGATTTGAGAGCTCTTTGGCGGCGGGATGTCTTCTTCTTCTTCTAGAGACGTTCCAATATTATTATTTTTAGAGCTGTCGTCGTCATCATCGGTGACTTCCGCAATCAGTCTCGTTTTGGCAGGAGGAGTCAGGTTTCTTCTAAGTTTTCCTTGGATGCCAGGCCTGACATCATCGGAATCACTACTAGAGCTGTGCTGATGACGTTTGGATACTGGTTTAGGTACAAACATGTCGTCACTAGCTGCTTCATCATCATCATCATCGTCCGACGGCCTAGCCTGTTTAGTAGATCTTTTGCGACGTTTTGGTTTCACAGGAGCAGCGAGAGCTTTTTCTTTAGTTCTAGCAGGTTTGCTACTTGCTGCTTTACTCGTCCGAGCTACTGGTTTCTTGGTTGGTTTGGGTTTACTCTTCACGCATTGTTGAGCTTCCAGTTCTTCAACAGTAATGCCCTTCTGTCTAGCTATGTAGGCCCGACTTTTTCCAGGCGACAGCCCAATGACAATCTGATGCGGTGACGAATCAGCACTATTATTTCTTTGCTTGGCTGTTGTCCTCTGTTCTTGATGGTCATAACCGGAATCATCAATATCGTCAGTATCGTCGTCAGATATAGAAGGGAGTCTCTTTGACCTATAGGTGTTATGTTTAGATGTCTTCTTCGTTGGTATGGCCTTCTTGGGCGCTCTCCTTTTCTTGGACTTTGGTCTAGAAGAGTAAGAATTGAAGCCTCCTTCAGAGGCTTCTTCCGATGATGCATTTGATGGCTGGTATCGGTCGTCGATATCATCGTCTTCAGATGAAGATAACTTTTTCCTTTTGCCCATGACTGATATTTGTTCTTGTTGCCTGCTGCGAACTGTGTTATGTTTTGACAGGTGCTTGCTTGATGCTTGGGCGGTCTCGAGGTGGATGAAGAAGCAGGTTTAGGGTGGATCACGCACGTTTTATGAGTGCAAACGCGGAAATCACTGCTACAAAGTCGATTTCGCTGTTGTTGCTGCTGCTATGCTATTCCTGCTACTGCGAGTCACGACTTTACAGGACAAGCTAGCTGAGGAACATCCCGACCATTTTTTATCAAAGATTATTTGATCCTTCTCAGAGCGCAGAATCTTTGGCGGCGTCACAACTCTGCTTTACTTCTTCGCATGTCATGTTTATTTCAACATCCTATGTCAACTTGACACCAATATAACCAAATTTTCCAAAATACTTTCTAGCATTAACTTTGATTACACATCCTTCCTGATGATATGCTTCTCTCCATTGTTGTTGAAACTAGATGTATTCCGACCAATAATTTGATTTACCCTATGAATGATATTCACGAAATTGTAAATTAGAACAGCTTTCCTCGTTATTAAACGGCCGCCTCCTAGTCAAAGAGGCATATCAAGAATTTGGAGGGGACAAATTGTTCTTTCAATTGTATGATGGATGCATCGTTCACGACACTCTGCTATGGACTTACTACACGCTTGTGGGATATGTAATGTCCATTCTATTCTATTCACAATTGCTGGCCTTTCTTGTAATTTTTGCCGTAATACTTCAAATCAGTTGTCATCACCAAGGTAAATGCAGAAATTACAAGACGAGACCAGTAGAATACGTTGAAGAGAATATCGATGCCTTGAAAGAATGCCATCACAATGCTCCAAGTCCGGAAAAGAGCCGTGGAAAAGTGTTGACTCGGTGTTCGTGTTTCAGCTTTGGTGGTTGGATCGTGAACTAGCTAACCAAAGGCATGTACTCTGGAGACTATCGGAATAGCAGCATCAAGTGAATCTGCGTGAATTACATTAGCTCCCTCAGTTTTGGTCACTCCGCATGCTCTGCAAGATTCCCAAGTGTGAACTGCGGCAAGCTCGACAAAACATCCTGAGTGAATATACAGCGAACTTAGCAGACAAGAAAGCCATAGAATGAAGATCAGATGGTTCAAAGAGCACATTCGTTCATCGCTGACAGAGAGATTCTCTCCACCGAGCCATCACTGAAATTTGCATATGGAGGTTTCACTGGATTTGTCACGGATAAAGACCAGTTGGTTCCAATTTCATGTTGAGAACCTTGGTGGCGTCAAGATAGCATGCAACGATAGAAGATGGTCCATCTTGTAGAGCTCCACCGAATCCATCGATTTGATTTGCCAAACCGGAAGTCCAAGGCTGAGTTGTGAGTTCTGGTGATGCATAGATAAGATAACGAAACACCAGCAACGTTTATGGTCCCGAGGGTCTAGCAAAAATGCTTACACCGCAAACTGAGTACAATCTTTATAAGCCAGCCAGTGGTTCTTCAGATCGGATTCTTCTCTTCTCCATTCAACACGAACAAGAATCGGATCTGATCAAAGTCATAGTGCCAACATGGATACCAAACCCGCGTCACTCACAGATGCTGCACGCTTAGAGCAACTTGGGTATAAACAGGTTGGTGATGAACGAGAGACATTTCAACGCTTTGGGGGGGTTTTACGACTAGATCATGCATTGACCATGAGATGTGAACTAAATTTACGTTTTATCTATGTATTAGGAGCTAAGAAGAGGTAATTCAAAAGAATTTTGGCTATCGCGTCCCCCTCTTGCAAACTAGAAGCTCCACCGCGAACTTTGTTCCGGGTGGTCTGTGTGCCCGTGCTACACACATTTGCTTAGTGTTTGGATGTGGAGCTTGCATTTCAAACTGCAAGTCGTCTGGAAGATATCGACTTATTATGATGTGGAATTGCTGCTCGATTGCATCGTTCGTTAAAAGCACGACTTCTAACAATCGATGTTTGATTCATAGCTATGGGACTTGTCAGCTCTTTTGGGATTGCTGCTTCGATTGTGAATCCTACAGTTGCTTTCTTTCCTGCTATTGCCGTTGCAATCACCACGGGCGGTTCAAAGGCGTTGTTGATCTCTTTCCCAATTGTCACAAGTAGGCATATACACCTTTGATCTGTTGATGTCATGAGCCGAGACTGACATGAATGTCTTGTTTAGTACTATGTTTCTTTGTGTCGATGTCTATGGCTGAAATCGTCTCTGCATACCCGTAAGTAACGTTTTCATTCTTGGTGCAAATTTGAATCTTTTAGTTTGTAACATTCATTGTAGAACTTCTGGTGGATTATACTACTGGAGTGCCAATTTAGCTGGTCCTAGATGGGCGCCTCTCGCCTCATACGTAAGTAACACCATCGTTGCATCCCAATACATTTCAATTCATCGATCTCAACAACTCCTTCGGAACACAGATCACTGGCTACTTCAACTACATTGGTCTATCAGGAATAACCACTGCAGTGGCCTTCATATTTGGCCAGCTATTCGCCGCGTTGTTATACGTCAGTGGCACATTCGATGGAGATACTGCTCTCATCACATATCAAGAAGCAGTTGTTGCTGGTGCTCTCATCTCAATCATCCTGTCTGCCATCCTGTGTTCATTCCCAGCCAATGTGCTTGACAAGATCAGTAAAGTTATGATTGTGGGAAATCTGATTGCTTGGCTTATTCTTGGTTGGTTCACGATACCTTGCCTAATATACAACAAATAGCACTACTAACGCGCTCCTTCCAATATCACATAGTTATTGCCACTCCAGTCGGTTTCGTTCGTAATGGTGGAACCCTAGTCACTCCCACCGCCATGTTCAGCGAATGGATTAACGTTACAGGCTTACCTGGTAAAGTCTCGACATTGCAAAACCTTGATAATCTTCTCACACATTTCTACTATTGCAACAGATAGCTGGGCTGTCTGCGTCGCCTGTCTCGCATCCTGCTTCTTCTATACCGGATATGATTCAGCGGCCCACATGGCCGAGGAAACTCAAAATGCTAGTCGATCAGCTCCTTTTGCTATCATGCTCACCGTCGCTGTCGGTCTACCAATGGGATACCTTGTAATCTGGGCTCAACAAAGTGTCTTGCCTCCAGACTTGTGGGAAGTTTATCTTGCTCCAAACTCTACATCCATTATTGTTGATGTGTGGGTTAATAATATGGGCGCCAATTGGGCTTGTAAGTAAATCGTGTAAGATTGCTGGCCATTTGGTGGGAGATTCTTGACTAACTCTATTCTTTTTCAGACTTCCTCACCGTCTTATTGATGCTACAAGCTCTAACTGTGGTAGTAGGCTGTCTCGCAACTCAAGCCCGAATTCTATTTGCATTCGCTCGTGACGGTGCCGTACCTGCCAGTAACTGGCTTCACTCTCTAACTGCTGCCAAGGTTCCACTCAGGACCATGCTCGTATCGGCAGTCTTCTCATTCATCCTGACTCTGCCCGTGTTCGGTTCAACCGTCGCATATAGTGCTCTAGTTGGGTTTGCTACCATCGGAACTTGTGAGTAGCTTGTAGAGTTGCTCTGGTCAGAGCGGGTAACTGACAATCTCGCCCTGTTAGATTTGGCTTACGCATCTCCTATCTTCCTTCGTATTCTACGAGGAAACAAAATGCCTAAAGGGCCATTTTCTCTGGGAGTACGTAGCATTTCTGCCCGTTCCAGCTCTTCAGCGAACGTAGGTCATTAATCCTCCCACCATTAGGTCTTTGGATTACCTGTCGCAATCATCGCCTTCCTATTCTTAACAATCGCATCGGTTTTCCTGTGCCTCCCAACAGTCCTCCTTCCCAATCCCAAAGACGGCTTGACTGCCTACTTTGCCGTATTCAACTTTGCTCCAATCATGGTCGGCATCATTGTAGTTCTCATGGCTGTGTTTTGGATCTTTTACGTCCGATTTTGGGTAATTTTTCAATCGTTTTTTGGGTGTTTTTGCAACACTTTGCTCACACCATTTTCAACGATTCTAGTTCAAAGGCCCCAAACTTGAAATCCATACTGCAGAGAACTTTGGTGCTGAGGGGATTGCTTATGATGCCAAGTTTGGTGATATGGACTTGTCTCAAGCTCATGCTAAAGTCTAGGCCCTTCTTGGTGTTCTTTAATCTTGTTCTAGAATCGTATCTAATAGATGTGTGAAATTCTTAAGCGAGACGTCTTTTGCAATCAGCGGGCGAAATGAAAGGCTGCCGCTTGGCAAAGCACCGCTCTCAAATACACCAGCAATAAGAAAATATTAAAGAGAAATATATATAATCCAAAAGTACCAAATAATAAAGCTAAACTCAACCATTTTTTTACATCACAACACATCCACCTTTCGCATTCTTGACCTCAATCTTCTTAACCGAAGGCCCACCAGCAACCTCAGGTTGCGGTGCAGCAACCTTAGATCTTCCAGCGACGGAATGCGTCATAAGCACACCATGAGCCCTCGTGAAAATCGTAGCTCCTTGCTTGAATTGTACGTGATGTTTGTTGGAGTGGTAGAATGAATCAGAAGCTAGGAGACCGTTCTCAACAGAGTTGGCGAGTTGGAAGGCTATTGAGACTATACAGAATGATTTTAGTTAGTCTGGGACAACAACAAGCCCATTGCACAAAAGGAGTGAATTTGTCATTGGATAGCTTACCAACTGAAGCCCAATTACTATCAAAATTATCCTTTGGAAGGGACTCGGTGTGAACACCAATGTGAACGCGCACATCACTATCGCTCTTTTCAACCGTTGAAACAAGTTCCATCGCGAAACCAGCTACATCGTGACCAGTACCAGATCCGTGTACATTTGCAATGGCAACTAAGAAAGGAATCAAATTTAGCATTTTTACCATTGCTTCTTTTGATATGGCCTGTTTTTGTGCCCACGAAACCAAAAACTCACCAAAAGTATTCCCACTCCTCAGCGTCTTTTTCAAATTGTGCTTCTTGGCAAGCGCGTCACAAGCGGCCCAGAAATCACCCAAGACTTGCACAGATTCAGTAGCACTTGGTCCTTCACCGTCACCACAGTCTTGTCCATCACCACCGATAGCAGGTAGGGTAGGATACACGACGAGGACAGTTGGAGTTAAATGGTGTGAAAATAATTCACCATGTTTGTGTATGGCTAGTTTGATGTACTCGGTTTCCTTGTATGTTGTTTCGAGTGCTTCGGCGGCTTCCACACGGATCAGGAGGGGGGATAGGACATTTGTTATGTTTTTCATGAGGCTTAGTTCCTATTGTGGTGTTGAAGGCTCAGCTAGGGTAACCAAAAACAAGATGCCTCGTTCTCTTTATACCTCTTTGGTAGCATCATCATCAGCACGGCCGGTGAAGAAGCATGTCAAAACAGCTAACGGCTTGCCATCTCCAATAACAAGACCAGAAATAGACATGCTGTTTCCCTTTCCAATGAACTTGTCGACTTGGTTTTGAGTCTTCTTGTCGTGTGGGTTCATTGTCAATGGACCATCTGCGAAGGCAGTAATGACTTTGGTTGACAGGTCGCTGAATTTCTCGTCGCCGATTTGGAGTGCTGTGCGGCCTGATGATGCGAATACTGTTGTTCTGGATCTAAAAGTTGGGTTGGTGAAAAAGAGTTAAGGACAATTGAGGCGAAAAAAGATAAGCCTTCAAGAACTCCCGAAGACACGTACCCATCAGCATCAGCTTCGACCTTCAACAAGACAGCAGCACTGCAATTCATTCCTTCACGAGCATACTTGACAACCTTCAAAAGTAAACCGAAATGTGAGCTAAAAAAAGCTTGCCATGCCATACCAAGATTGCACAACTTACATCAGCAAGTACAGCACTCGTGTTCTCCTCATTAAGCACCTTCCCTTGATCAGCCATCAAAATCTTGATCAAAGTATCCACTTTATTTGATTTCGAGCCTTTGCCACTGGTTCCAGACATGGAATCAACATGGTATGAAGCAGCTTGAGCGAGATTGAGCAAAAGTCCCTTTTCTTCATCAACGAATGCATCACGAGATTCTCCGAATACTACGAGTGCTGATGAGCCACTATTCAAAAGAGATTTAGAGTCAATACTCCGAAGGACCGGATCTGTTTTTGCAATCAACAAAACTTACGGTTTAATAACACCCCCAGCAATAAACCCAGCACCACCCTTCTTAACAACGCGATACGACTTGAAGCTTGGCTGACTAGTAGCATCAACTTCTGAAACGCACCCTTCCTGTTCCTCATCTTCAAGTACCCAGCCTAATACTGACGTCTCCTGTTTCTCCTCATACACACCATTCTTTGCATCACCAAGGAAGGCATCTAATCCCATACTATAAGTCCATCGTACACGGCCATCGTCACCAAGCGTACCAATAGCGGCAGCAGGCACATCGAATATTTTAGCAGCAAGAGCAATAATTTGATTTAATGCATCCTCTTGTGGTGTAGTGTTGACAACTTCCTTCTTAGCACGCCGACCTTCACGCGCATTACTATTCTTGTTTGCTGATTTCACGGATGTGGACGCTCGTGCGGCGACTGATGCTCGTTTTGGTTGTGGTTTGTCATCGTCTTCGTCATCGTCGTTGGTACGTCGTGAAGGTGATTTCTTGCTTGACTTTTGTTTAGGAGTCTCGATTTCTTCATCGTCCTCTTCGTCCTCGTCGTCATCATTCAATGAACGATGCTTGGTACCAACAGGTTTTGGTGTTCGTGCAGAGGAAGGAGATCGAGGATCAACGCTCTTGCTAGCGGTACTAATATCAGATAATGGCGATGGCTTCTTCTTAGCCAATTTCTTGGGTTCCGAGTACTCGTCTTCACTCAGATCTTGAGCCTTGGATTTAACTGGCGAAACTGCCTTCTTTGACGATGAATGTGGTCTTTCACTTTCCAGATCTTCAACACTTTCCATCCTCTTAGCAGGTGCTTTCTTGGATGGCGATAGAGGAGGTCGCCGAGTCTCAGGCTCAGACTCTTCAATTGCGTCTTCATCTTTAGCCGGTCTCCTTGCATTTGACGAAGAATGGTGGGTATCTCGTTGCGATGCTTTACTAGTATTCTCTTTACTAACTAGCCATCCATAAGACTCTCCATTCAAATCCCGAGTCCCCTCAGCAGCATGACGTGTAGGCGAAGCTGGTTTCTTGACTTCGTATTCTTCTTCAGAGATACGTGATTTGGTTGGTGATGATGGTTTACTAGCACTAGTTGCTCGTAAATCGTCACGGGAGCGTCGACTTGGTTCGGTATGGTGTTCACGGTGGACATCCTTTTCACGGTGGTCCTCCTTTTCAACAACACGGTGGTGGGAACGGTCATCAGAAACACGGTCGTGGTCACGTTCACGGTGAGAAGAGGAGGAAGAAGGAGAGGTTACTCCATGGTCACGGTCATCATGTTTTTCATGATGTTTATCATGATGCTTAGTATCCACATCACGTTCACGTCGCTCGTCTCTATCACGTTTCTCATCCCTCTCTCGTCTCTCATCTCTCTCTCGACGTTCATCACGGTCGTCTTTAACAATATCTCCACGAGAATCATCACGTGCAGTAACAGGGTGCACCTTATTCGTAGCAGCTGATTTAGGAGTCAAGATAGGTCGTGCGTTACGTGTATCAACTTCAAGTCCACGAGTACCAGGAGAATGTAAATCATCTTCAGATATATGTCTCCTAGAGGGAGCAGCATGACGAGACTCCACTGGCGATTCCTCCTTGATACCGTTAGACGTGCGTCGCAGACTACTCATTGTTGGTAGGGGAGCTGGTATATCATCACCACGACTACGTGGGCGTCCTGCAGCACTACCAGCAGCACTAGATTTCTTAAAGTCAGCAATGTCACCACTCAAGTCCTCCCTACTCTTCCTTCCAAGTCTCTCCAAACCAAGTGTTGGTGAATGATGAACTAGCTCTTCACGGGATCCTCTTCGTCCCTTATCAAATCCAGCCAAAACGTTCAATGGTGCGTCCCGAGGTGACGATACAGGCGTCGTGCGTTCAGATTTCATTGATGTCTTGATCGATGAAGCGACACCGGTTGCCGGTGAACGGAGTGGTGAATCATTGTAGGAGCCGTGTTTGCTAGATGGTAGAACCACATCGTCACGGTCATAGTCGTCGTATTTGTTGGATCGTTCATTATTGGATGCCATGGCTGTTGAGCGTGCAGTTTCTCGATATTCACGGGATTCTGACCGTTCGTATATTGGGTCTCCTCGTGGCATGGCGTGAAGACCTAAAATATACCTGTATGTCAAATAATTAAAAGATCAGATTGAGTCCTGTCGGCTATCACTTCGTGTTTAGTTTGCGAAGTAATGAAAACCGAAGTTTTAAATTTCCGAGCGAACAATGAAAGCGATGAGAATGAGCGATGTGAAGTTTTCTGAGCAGAAGAGAGGAATTGAGAAGGTGGGATTATACGTAGATTCAGCTTGAAATACATAAATTCCACCGATCGATACGAACTTTACAGCCCTCACGTAACAATTAACGTTTTCCAAACAAATGTGAAGTACCGCAAAGTTTCATTCTCTCGCACGCAAAAAGTAAGCATGACAAGAATTAATAACAAATATTGCTTCCCTCTAATTCTACATAATGCACCTATAATACAAGTGAATAAACAACCAACCTTCAAATCAAAGTACGTCTAGCATTCTCCAACCCATCACCCCCTTTACTTCCAACACCACCCCTCTTACTCAAATTCAACTCCTCGTTAACTTCCTCCAACCTCCATTTCGCATCGTCCAATCCCTTTAATTGCTCTTCCAGCTTCTTGATCTCAGATCCCACAGTTCCAATCAACGACTCTCCAGTCCCAATACGTTCCAGCGTGTATGCACCATCAGCCAATCTTAACAGATATCGATGGTATTTGAAGAGTGCTGGGCGATGGGATATGGTTACGATGGTAATGTCCAAGTCTTTTGCGGTTGTATACATGAGTGCTTCTACGTCTGATGAGACTGCACTAGTAGCTTCATCTAATACGGCGAATCTAGGTGCGTGGTAGAATAGTCTTGCGATTTGCATACGTTGCTTCTCGCCTCCTAAAGAAACGCGAGTGTGAGAAGTGAGGGGAAAAAAGGCATGAAGTTGACATGGAGAATGGCGAACCTGAAAAGACGTCCTTCCACTCCTTAACAACATCGAAGCCCCCTTCCCTCGTAACAACATACTCCAAATACACCATTTTCAGAATCTCCATCAAATCTTGATCGGTCTTCCCATCAGCCAGCATTTGGGCATGGGAATGCGGATATATAACTTGATCTCTCATTGTACCCTGAACCAAATAAGGTCGTTGTGGTACGAAAAAGATGTTGCTGACTCCACGTTGTGGTCGCGCTAATCTCCCTCTAAACAATGGCCATAGCCCAGCAATCACTCTTATTATAGCTGATTTGCCCGCTCCGTTTGCACCAGTAATCATCAAGTGATCAGTTGGGTGGATTTCAAGGGTTAATTCGTTTACGAGCACTGTATCCCCTGATGGCGTTACTATAGGTACCTTGTGCAATTTAATGCCTAAATAAAACAGAAGGGTGTCAGGCTCAAGAACCAAAAAACGAGCAATACCAGAGGAGGTACGCCAACAGCTCGAATTGCAACAACACTTTACCTTCATCAACATCATGATACTCAATAACACCTTCAACATCCTCAATAGAGTAAACACTGGAAGCGTTTTCAACTTGGACATACTTGTCATCCCGCAAATCATGCAAGACTCGCAACATGTTATAGACTCGATAGGTATATCCAGCCAACTCAGACAAGTCCTTTCCAGCATAAACAAGCCGACCTCCAGCATCAGCCAATGATACCATGAGTCGTTTGTTTGTGATGAAACCTTTGGGAACCACAAAAACTGTGTCAGAACGTGAAGTCTAATAAATGAGCTTTTTCTTACCCTCAGTTCTTCGTCCCGTAGCTTTATCCATTGTTTGACTCTTTTCAATAATACCACCTTGTTCTGATTCTTCCTTTTCTTTGGCAGCCATTACTCGTTCATGTGAGCCTGCAAGTTCAGGATAAAACTACAAAACAAAAAAGCCAATGTCATTGAACAAATGCATCTTGCAACACAAGTCCCAAATCACAAACGTACGATAGGAATAGCAGCCATAATCAGCCCAAAAGCAGACCAGCAATATTTGATGATGAAGTCTTCAAACATATTATACCCAATCCTGATATAATAGATTCGATTGACATGTCTCATAAGTCTCGAATACGTTCTGTTCAATATAGATCGTTCCAAATGCCCTCCATTGTAAAACGCGATTTCCTCGGAATTGGTAATCAGTCGTGAATGAGCTGATCGGAAATCTCCTTCTAGTTTAGCTTCTTCAGCAGCGAGTTTACCGAATGGAGGTGTAATGTTCTGAATGAATCTAGATGTGGCCCAGTAGTTTATTAGGATGCCCAAGAAGCCATATGTTCCGATACTTTTGGCAAGTTGGTAGTTGAAGATTACAAGATCTAGTGTTGGTTTGCCTAGATTGCTGTATAGATTGGCGGCGGCGACACAAAAGCGGTTGATGTCTGTTGTTATTAGCCTATGCAAGAAAATTGGATTTAGATTCGACACGAAGGAATGCTTGAAAAGCAACAAAAAAACCTAGAAGATGTCAACGAGAATACTCACTGATCAGCTCCATCAATTCGATGATCCAAGTTTCCAGCTTTATAATAAGTCATCTTGCTCATATACGTGTCGTGAACGTGTCTAGTCAATGAGGTCCGCAAATTCATGGCAAACTTTGATTGCAAGTATCGAATCATGCTATTTGTGTATGTTGCAGGTATGGCGATAGCAAACCAATACCCCAATCCCTTCAGGAACTCGACCTTGTCGCCTGCCACCTGGTAGTAAAAGGGGTTGGAGTTTAACAACACGTTCAAGATCAAAGGCAAAAGAGGACCTCAACGACGTGGTAATCGTTACCAGATCTCGAACAAGCTTTCCATCCAGTCTCGCGACAAGGACACTCAGATAAGTCCTCAGCACGAGAAATATCGTGTGCAAGGAGAGTATCCCAACAGTCTTGTGGTTCAATGTGGGGACACATATCTTCCATATGTAGTATAGCTGTTTCCAGAATTTCTTATCTACGGATACTTTGACGATTCTCTTGTCTATTCGTAGTGGTCCCTTCTCTTCCTCACTGTCTTTGACGAGTAGTTCAATCTTCTTGGTTGTTGATGATGGTGAGTTCGAGATGGAGGTGGTGTATGCAAGAGTAGAGACCGCGGTGAGAGCTATGGCTAGTGCCGAGGCTCGTCGTGGATGGTTCTTTACTAGCTGTAATATGGCAGATGACGAGGAGATTGCGAATGGTTGAAGAGGTAGATTGTTGGTGGTGATCTGAGCAACGATACTGGGAGGTAGAGGTTGTGGAATATATTGACTCATGGCTGGGATGAGTTGTATTGTTGACAAGTCGGGCTTGCCTCCTTTGGATCTATCTGGATATGTCTAAGTTGACGGATTTGGAATTAAACTTAAACTTTGAAGAATCGGGACGACGAGAGTTACTTACGCGATTCTTTACCGGTCAGTGTCTGGAGATAAATATGAAATCGTCGATAATGTAAGAACTTTATGCTACTTTTCAACATGTTTCATGTAATCACGTGGGGATGTTAATTGCCTTTTTGCTCTCCAAGTTCGAGTATCGAGTGACAGGCTTCAGAATTCAATGCACAGCAATATGCTCTTCTTACCATTGAATGAATCAACGTTTGCAAGTAGACGGTCTCGCTATTGTCGGTGTTCGAAATCGGCAAATGAATCTACCTTTTTTTGAACACTTTCGTGGGACATACCCAACAACCACATAAGCTACATCAACATGAGGGGAACTATGCATCTCATCCTGCTGCTGTCCTTGATATCCCTGGGATCTACTGCTAAAGATGTTTACGAAGGATACCAAGCCTATTGGACCAACCCACAGAGAATGAATTTCGATTTGATGGATGAAGCTCTTGAACGTGCCGCACGAGAATCCATGAGAACCCAACACCCTAACGTGGCGAATGATCGGATGAATATGGTTGCCCAACACTTACTGAACGGGGGTTCGTCATCGTCAACATTAGTTTCGAATTCGACTGGTATGTAAGCTTTGGTAGTGTTTGCTTTTGTCGTGGTGGAGACGCGATTTTACCATTCCAACGATGGAGATGTTCCGTAAACCAGCGCACAATTCGTGATATTGACCAACACACCAAAAACCTCAATATTAGCCAAGAAACCCAACATTATCTTTGTCATTGTTGACGATCAAGATAAACTGATTGACTCGTCCAAGTATATGCCTACGCTACAAGAGTATCTGGTTCGTCAGGGAACGACTTTTGATAATCATTTCGTGTCCAGTAAGTCAATGGTCCTGGGATGCGAAGGAGGTCCATCACTTACATGCAACTCTATAGTGGCCGTCTGTTGTCCTTCTCGTGTCAGTGTTCTTACTGGTCAATTTGCTCAGTGAGTAGCCAGTCGAAAGACCATTCTGACCGTTTGCGTCTGCTTTTTTACCATTTTTTGTCTCCATCACAGCAACCATAACATGAGCACAGTAGTCGCACCTCATGGAGGCTACGAAGTCTTTCTGGAGAAGGGCTTACATGAGGACACAATGCCAATGCACATGCAAGCGCTCGGATACCAAACCAGTTTTATTGGAAAGCTCATCAATGGACTAAGTCTTCAGAATTTCTTTAAAGTTCCTCCAGGTGCGTTACCGTTTTCTTAATGTGCTTTACAATCCTATTTGCTAATCTATCCTTTCATAGGATGGTGAGCGAATGTGACCCCCAGTAATTCTGATTCTTCAATTGTGAGACGTATCGTTTTTGCCTCATCAGGAACGCATGGGATCCCACAATATTACCATGGATGTACGACTATGAGAACGTTGTCTTTTCTCGTGATGGTGAAATGCCAACCGTTTACCCTGGAGAATATCAAACGACCGTTATTGCAGAGAAGGGTAAGGACATTCCAACATTGCACAGTTTGGAAGAACTTGCTGACACATTGTATAACAGCCGCTGCAGTAATTCGGGACGCGCTCAACCCAACAAGACAAGAAAAACAACCATTGTTTATGTATATCGCTCCAGCTGCCCCACATTCTGCTGGAATTTTGCCCAAGATTACCATGCCATTCGTAAGTACTTGAATCATGTAAAGGTTGATCCAAAAAAGCAAGGTCTACATGGAGCAAATTGATCTTGTAACCCCGTTTTTATAGATCCCTCGCGAGTATATGAAGAAACTTCCAGGAATGACTCAAGGTACCGTGAATCTTTTCGCGCAACTGATTCACCCACCAGTGCCGGAACCAAAGTATAAAGATGCATACCCGGATTTGAAAGTTCCCAGAGGTTTGTTTGTGTGTTCAATTCATTTTGCGTTTCTTAACATCTGTTCGTTGAGTAGACGATCCATCATTTAACTCGGGACCGGATCCAAAGAAACCATCATGGCTCAAAAACCTTCCTAAATTGTCGCAAGAGGCTATCGACGAGATGGATCATTGGATGCGTCAACGTGTTCGTGTGTTGCTCAGTGTGGATGATATGCTAGCCAAGATTATTGATACCTTGAAGGAAGTTAATGAGCTGGATAACACTTATATCTTCTGTGAGTACTGGTCTACGTGGAGAGCTCTGCTTATATGGAGGTTCAACTTCGATGCTGATTTTTTTGTGGATAGACACCAGTGACAATGGCTTCCATCTTGGGCATCACTCCTTGGGAGCGGGCAAGTGCTCACCTCTAGAACATGATATAAGAGTGCCTATGTTTGTTAGAGGTCCAGGAGTACGACAGAATTATGTGTCAAAGGATGTGCATAGTCATTACGATTTCTTGCCTACGTTTACGACACTGGGTGGTGGGTCGCTCAAACCCAAGTACGATGGAAGGCCTATGGCTGTGCGAGTTGATCAGAAACCTATTGTGAGTAAGCAACCTGTGACAATAAGCGATTGTTCTGCTAATCAGAAAGCGATACTTTAACGTCACATACCTTTCTTACTATACAGGCGCTCGAAAACTTCTTTGTCGAATTCTGGGAAGGGCGTTTACAAGAAAACGACAAGCAAGTCTCAACGGACAACATCTACAAGAGTGTTCGAATCATCTCTGCAGATGGACTGGACTTGTTTTATTCCGTATGGTGTACAAAGGAGAGGGAATTTTACGACTTCAAGAAGGATCCACATCAGCTACACAATGCTATTGATGAAGCAGATCCGAAACTTATTGATCGTCTTAATGGATTGATGTTGATTTTGAAGGAATGCCAAGGTGTATCTTGGTGAGTTTCAAACTCTGTTAGTCTTTCTTGCCAAAAAAAAAAAAAAATACAAGTCACGATCCGTGGAATGTGAGCTGACACCTTGTGGTTCCATAGTCGAGACCCATGGTCGTCACTGCACCCAGACGGCTCCGTAAAAACATTACGACAAGCACTCTCGCCCAAACACGATGACTACTATTCCAAGATGGAACGCTTCCGATTCTTGAATTGTAACGACAATTACTTTAACGAGCTGAATGAGGTGCCGCAACCGAAATCGATACCTGTTTGGGAAGAGGTTGGAGAGTCGTTGATTGAATATGGAGCTGATGGCCAAAAGGGGAAGACTGGGATTGGGAAGAGAGGGCCTATTGAAGCTAAAGGGTACTTGATTTCCGATTCAGGTTGAGTATAAAGAAGAGATTTTGATGCCTTTTTTTGCCTTATATAGAGTTCCTCTGTTTGGTAGACCCAAAAACTAAAAACTAGATTAAACACGTGAACTGACAGTTTTGGATTCCAAACACGTAATTTTACGCGTAAATCTATTAAAAATATTAAAAATATAATAATAAATTACAAATTTCATCTGCGATTTTTGTGTTTTGTCGTTTTGGTACCTCAACTCAATCTCCAAACAAGCAAGAACTCAATTTTGTCTGATTTCACTAACAAAGGAACCCACTGCAAAAATGAAGCACCTAGCCCTCATTTACGTCTTTGTACTCACAGCTTCCCTCACTATTACAGCACAGTCTGCTTCCGTCGACTCGCAACTCGCCACATCATCAACATCAAAACACCCAACTGGAGCCCATGTAGTGAAACGAGACAAGGACGACCACGAAACATGTATAAACGCATGGTCTGAATCAGATCCATGTGATTTTGTTAAGTCTGCAGCATGCCAGTACGATTTCGCTTCGCAAATCAATTATGCTGAAGCATTCTTCTGTTCGCCGACTGTGGTCAAGGTGTTTATGACTCCCTTGTTGGTATGTGACGTTATGTGAATTTATGGTTGTTTTGGAGTGTGTTGGATATACACTAATGTGCTCGATGAAATGTTTACTTTTTTGGTGAATTGTTGAACTGACGCCACCTTTGATGTTTACTAGTTTTTATGGGCTATATATCTCTTCTTGTTTGCTGGAATAGTAGCATCAGATTTCTTTCGTAAGTTCACGATAAGTGTCGCACATTGTGTGGGCAATGACATATGGAAATTAACTGTCTATATAGGTCCAGGCCTCTCACTCCTATTCAGCAACTCCCTAAAGCCAGGCTTCTTTGCTTCAATGACAATCCTAGCCCTCGGCAACGGCTCCTTTGACCTCCTCGCATCAACAGCAGCAATGAAATCAAACAGTGCTTCAATAGCATTTGGTGGTCTTCTCGGCGCCGCTCTCATATCGTCCATCCTAACACCTGGTCTAATCGCAATGCTGCATCCATATTATGTAGTAAAACGAGGGTTTATGCGGGATACGATGTTTGCTTTGGCTGCGTTGGTGCTTGTAATGATTGTATTACTGGATGATGATATAAGTGTTATGGAGGGGTTGTTTTTGGTGGGATTTTATTTCTTGTATTTGAGTTCGAGGATTGGATGGCATGCTACTGTTGGTGGTGATCATGTCGCTCTGCCTCAAAATGATCCTGATGATTCCGAGAATCATTTTGAAGCTGAGGTCCGTCGTGATATCGGGGATGAGGGTGAAGATGTGATTACTCTGGTGAGGGATTCTGAGGCTCAAGGTTTGAGATACATATCTTCTTGTTGAAGTCTTTCTTTTCGTCGTTAACTACTCTCGTTTTATAGATTATCGAAAGTCGAGGCAACCATTTTTGGGTGGTTTGGCACGAGGTAAAAAAACAGACAGTCGTAGTAAATTCAGACTTATGATACAAAATTCCTAACAGAACACACCTCTCCTAGTCTTTGACTCCTATCTACCACCACAACCTGAACGAGACGGCCAAATCCAACCTGCATCAGACACTCAAGATGCAACACAAACAGAACAAGCACTATCAACAGCACTACCAAGATCTGAACGAAAGTCCATTTATGGAGCTATTCTCGTTACAAACATTACAGAACGGCCAGCCTCTCAAGATTACTTGAGACAAGATTATCTACCATCATCCTCTATATCTGAAATGGTCGTGTCTTCCATGCTGTTTGTTGCTCGATTGTTCGTGCCAGTGATCCCTATCCCGGGTGGTGTTAATGAGGGAAGGCCAAGTCGAGAACTTGTGGGGTTGAGGAGTGTGTTTGGTGGGATGTTGATTGTTTATTCTTTCATTGGTAAGAACGATGATTCTGGGTTCAAGTCGGTTTTTGGCTCTGTCCGTGCGTAACACATCTACATGTGTACATACACAACTACATCTAAGGGGGTTTTTTTTTCCTCAAACATAGATTTCTGGCACTTTCGTCTACCATGGTTTGCTTTATTACCCATCGTACTCATAGTTGGCGGACTCCTATTTGGTGCTGTAGGCTTGGCCTTGTGCCAATCTGACTCTGAAAAGATTCACATGTTTCATAAAGTCACTGCTGTCTTGGCCGCTTTGTCGCTGATATATATCATTGCCAATGAAGCTGTGGGTCTCGTTGTGACTCTGGCGCTTGTTATGGATTTGTCAAAGACCTTTGTGGGCTTGACATTGTTCGCTGCTGGCCTTAGTGTTGGTGGTGAGTATTGTGTCCTTGTTGTTAACAGAGCAACGCAAAAAAATCGGAATTGCAAGATGACGACATTCACATTTTGTTTTCTGTATTTAGATCTTGTGGCAAACGTGGTTCTAGCCATAAACGGTTACCCATCAATCTCAACGCTGTCCTCATTCGCGACTTCTACGTTGAGCATAACTGGAGGCACTGGTCTTGGCACTCTGTACTCGCTTATTGTATGGGGTGATCGAACAGAAAATGGTAAACTGGCACTCATTACGAGTCCCAGTATTTTGGCTGCGACCATTTGTCTTGGTTTACTTGTGATTGTCGAAATGGTTGCTATTGTCAAGAGCCAGTTTCGTATTGAACCGACGCATGGCAAACTGTTGGTTGCTGGCTTTGCTGCCAGTATGCTTATATGCTGTCTTGTTGAATTTTTTCATAGTCTTTAGCAACGCTGCTGTTTGAAAGGTTTGTGTCCCTTTTTTGGGTTGGGATATTTTGGAACTATGTGGTCTGACTTGAACAAAGCCTCATTCTTTAGATCTTAAAACGTATTTTCCTGTTGATGTACATAGAGGTTCTTGGTGATTTATATGTGTTGGGAAAATAAAACTAGATAGAAAACTTGAACAAACTTGAAAAAGGGTTGGTGCAAGCTGAAACGAAGAAACAGAATAGCAGCGAAGCTGAACCATGAGCATTGAACGCTACAGAAGCAATTCGAAGTTCTTGGAAGGAAATAGCAAAGTGACCAATCTGTGATACTCACGTGTACGGGCTTTTTCTCTTGCATATTTTTCGTTCTCCGACTCACTTTTCACCATCCCACCAGAAAAACCAACACCAACCCCATATCAAGCCTATAAATCACTCGAAACTCACTTAAAATGGCACTTGTAAGTATTGAATGCTTTAGAAATGAGCGATTGGTTGGGAACAAGCTTGTAAAATCAAGCTTTCCAATTTTCCTGGTTGTCGGTGGAATTGGTGTATCGGAGGCCAAGGATGAGAAAGCGAGTCGGTTCGTGAGCTGGAGGCGCTCGTACGAGCGATGTTGGGACCGTGTTTGGTGTCGGAATTGTGGAACATCGTGTCTGGATTCAAGGTGTCGAGGAAAATGGCCGACGCACATGTCGATGGTGACTCAATGTGATCGATGGATGGAGCACTCATGTTAAGAAGTTGATTCTATTGGTCCTCGTCTCAACTTGCACTTCGTTTCTAACCTCATTGTGTTTCATTTTGAGACTATGCTAACCAAAGTTCAAAATATCTCTTTAGGAAGCTAAAATCGAAGAAGAATTACGAAAGGCCTACGCTGCCTTCAACGTTGGAGGTGAGCTACTCAAACATACATGAACATACATTCAAAGCCTGATGGATTTGTGGCCTAACGAAAAATTCCGCCCTATAGATGCTACATACATCCTCTCCAACTTGCAATCACCCGACATTCCAGTAACCTGTGCTATGCCAGGTTTGTCCATCTCTGGAACCAAGCCATTCTCTGAATTCTTGAAGGTTGGCTATTTTGGATGCTGTGTTTCCGGGAATGGAATCTTACTTACAACAAATTCACCATACATAGCTCAACTCTGAAGGAGCTGCAAAGACTAGCGGCTTCAAAGTAGAAGTCGACACCATCAAATTCTTGGGTGGTTCAAAGGTTGAAGCCTTCTTGCACATCGAATTCACCAAAGATGGCAAGCACTACGATGAGTACGTTGAAGATCTGGATTTCTTTACAATCCTGAATCACTAACAGTCATGCTTTCATCACCATTGTAGCCACAAGGAAGCTCAAATCTGGCAATACAATGCTGACGCCAAGTTCGTTTCGGGAGAAATGGACTTCAAGAACCCTGAAACCGTTGCCGTTCTCTACGGTCTTTAAGGAGTCTGTTAGAAAGATGTTGACTTTCCGTTGAATACACATCCAAGATCTCTTCAGACTACTTCATCAGTTCGTTTTGTTTCACAACCCCTATCGTTAAAGAGCAGATTTCATAGCTACACAATGCATCGGAAATTTCTTGGTTCGGTATCAGATTTGTATCATGCCCTGTTGTTGAGCAGTGGTAGTTCATCACATCGAAAATGTAAAACGAACACACCGTCATCTCTAACCGTTCAGGGCTCAAAATGATAGTTTCAATAGATAGAATCGAAATTAAGCACACAATTCCGGAAAATGGAACTGCAAGTTTTTTTTTGTTGTTTCATTCTTGCCTTCGTTTTCTCAAGACTGTCCGAAAAAGGCCGTTGTGACAAACAAGGCCCACAATCATATAAGGGGGAGAGCTTGAACGACTTTTAGGAGTGATTGAAGCCTTGAACTGTACGAGGGTGCCTTCCTTTGCTGTTAAACGTAAAAGTTACGACGGCAATTGTTGCACATTCTTTGACAAAGTCTTTTTGGCCCCGCCCAGGCTACGAACAAGGTAAATTCTTTGCATTTAAGGTTTATATGTTGGCTATTTAGGCTTTATGAGCGTCAGCTTGGCCCCTATTGCATTTCCCACGTATTGGGGGTCGACGCAACTGCCAGTCAATTCATCGTTTTTGCAGGAGCCTCCTCTAACCACAGAGAGTTTAGGAACTAGTGTTGCTACACCGTTACTGCCATCTCTATCGTGCTGTAAATTGATGGTTGGTGGACATCTAATGGAGTGCATTGGAGTTTCACTATAAAATATCCCAGCAAAGCAAATTCATAGCCTAGGGCTATTTGAACCAACAATGTTGTCATCGTACTCGTCAGAGCAACGTAGGCCAGATGCTAATGCTGGCCCGATGCAGCCGACCAACATGCGTAGACCGCCCATGGAACGCCCACCACTACAGCCCGAAGCAGTTACGCATATGGCAATGATGAGTCGCTATCAACAACAGCAGTCGTTGATGCAACCGGCTTGGAATAATGTAGAATCTCGGACCCAACAGCCTGTATCTACCGTGCCGGCCAATGACTATTCGCTGCCATACCAGCGAGCAATGAATAATGGATTATATGAGCCAACACAAACATTGTCGCCGAACGCTCAGACATCACCGTATCTCAACAACCAGAGACAGCCCAACGCATCATCATCAACGCAGACTCTAAACAGATATCAGTATGGAATGGATGCCGGAATGAATGGTACTCCTCAGCAACAGACAGCCTACATGCCTTCTACCCCTATAAAATCGCTTCCAGATTCTGGCAGCATCTCGCCGACAATACCAACTGTGCATCGTCGTGGTGCTCCGAAACCATCTCTCTTACCAATCCCGACGTCACCACCAGAATCAAATGCTAGCAGTACACAACAACATCCATTCAGCTTTGACCCAACGTCACCAACAAAATACTATGCCCACGATCCAGAACGTCGCGGATCAGCAAATGCATTCATGGCAGACAATGGACAGCTTCCGCTAACACCATACTCAATCACCGCTGGGCCGTTATCTGCACCTGCAACCGGCTTCCATCCATTCTCGCCATTCAGCCCGACTACTACAAATACCTCGCAATCGTCAGCAACAGCATATCGTCAAGATACGGGGACACAACAGACGCCAGCGCAAGTCGAGTCCTATATACGGGATAATGGAATTTATTATGGTGGTATGGCGGCTTCGGAAGCTGTGCCTCCAGCAATTCCAGCAAAGGATGCTAAATTCAAGCAACCGCAACCTGGATTTGGGAACCAGCCTGCGGCGTCTTCTAGTGCTAGTGGTTCGACGAAGACGAGGGATGCTAAAGCACCTATTTCTGCTGAAAGTAGGAAATTATAGCTGATTTTTGTCTGGTTTTTTTGTTCATAGACGAAACTCACGCCTTGTTTTTGTGGCCAACAACAGATGCATTCCGAATGTACAAGGACAGTCTGACAAGTTACGAGCATCGAGAAATATTTGCCTACCAAGAAATTTACTTTACTGGTCAGCCTGGAGTCGACAAGATTGGAGGTAGTAAGCGAAGAGCTACACTTGATGAAGCTTCTATAGGGCCTAACGGCAATAACGAGGACAAAACCGTTTACAATTACGGTATGACTGAAGTCGCTCTTCAAGTTTGTTTTGTAGTCGACTAACATTTTTTGTAAACTCTAAAAGGGTTTGATGATGCACGAGGAGATTACAATCTGACTCCCCGAGACCATGTCGCATACCGATACGAGATTGTTGGTCTACTAGGCAAAGGCAGTTTCGGGCAGGTCGTCAAGTGTTATGATCACAAGATGAAGCAAATGGTTGCCCTGAAGATAATCCGCAACAAGAAGAGATTTGAGAAACAAGGAGTCGTGGAAGTCAAAGTATTGGATCGGTTGAAACAAGAGGTATGAGCGCTACATTACTATTCAAGTTTACCATCGTTTGCTTTTCTCATTTTAAATTTAATAGGACGTGGAGGACAAGTATCACATTATTCACATGTTGGAGCATTTCTACTTTCGTGGTCACTTGTGCATATCGACGGAACTTCTGGGCATAAACCTTTATGAATGGTTGAAGGCTGGTGGTTTCCGTGGAGTGCATTTGGGTGTCATTAGAACGTGAGTTTCATTCGTTCGCCTTTCCACATGTCTTTTTTCAGCGTTGAATCACTCAAACTGTCGCCACCGATATCTTAGATTCACACATCAAATACTGAAATGCATGCTTCTATTGGCTCAAACACATATCGTACACTGTGACCTGAAGCCTGAAAATGTGCTGTTGAAGGATACCACCATTCTTCAGCCATCAGCACGCGACTGCAATATTGTTCCTGAACTGGCAGCACCCTCATCAGGATCATTAGCACAATACCCAAAAGAATTCGATCAAAGTAATCCTGCTTATGTTATCAAAGTCATTGACTTTGGAAGCAGTTGCTTTGATGATGAGAAGGTTTATACTTATGTGCAGAGTCGATTTTATCGGAGCCCGGAAGTCATACTTGGTATGTTGTGGTGATGGGTGTTTTTGCTCGTGCTTTGACGTTTCTCAACGGTTTTTTTGATAGGTGTTGCGTATGGCGTTTCTATAGACATGTGGTCGTTGGGGTGTATATTAGCAGAGCTATATACTGGATATCCGCTCTTCCCAGGAGAGAACGAGCAGGAACAGTTAGCCTGCATTATGGAGGTCAGAGGTGTTCCTGACTGGAGTTTCGTAGAACGTGGTACTAGAAGGAAACTCTTCTTTGGTCAGTTATTCGCCTTGGCCGCCGTCTTTACGTTTGTCGCCTGACTTTTCTCACATTCTACGAAACCTTAACACATTTCTGATTTAGACTCAAATGGTCAACCAAGGTTGATTCCAAACTCGAAGGGCAAAAAGAGAAGACCCTCTAGTAAGCCAATAACATCAGTGCTGCGAGCAGCAGATCCGGCATTCGTGCAGTTTGTTGAACGATGCCTGGTATGGGATCCTGAAAAACGGATGACTCCCACAGAAGCATTAAACCATGAATGGATTCTTGCTGGTATTCGTAAAGATGCACCCGCAGCTCGCATGGGATCTCAATCTCCTCAGCAGCAGACCAGGTCTGGCCATTCCGCTTCGCTAACGGTGTATGAAACCACGAATGCAGGGACCGCACCTAGACGTAAACCTGTAGAAGATCCACGAATTCCAGTTCAACACCAACAATCAACTTCCATACATCCATCATTATATTCTCAGCCTCCTCAATCCAAGACCATACCGTCAGCATCCCTACCTCGTAAACAGATTAATGGAAGTACTTCATCACAGCCGCAGCAGTCGCAACAGCCGCTGCTGCAACAATTAACAAATAATCCTAATGCTTCGTATGCTGGAGTAGCATCGTCAGGCAACAGTTTAATGCCGAATCTTGCAAGACGAGATTCTGCGAATTCGACGTCTTCGTCAGGGCGAGAGTCGAATAGTAGACCAGCTGCAACTAGGTATCAGCAGCAACCAGAAGTCGTGGCAGATACGATTGGTGGCACAGTCAGCAGAAATCCTAGTAAATCAGTATATGCACAGAATTGGTCATCTAGTAGCCCTAACACGATGGGATACAACTCTATGAGTCGGACCAATCAAAGTAATGCACGAGTTGCGTATCCTGCTGGGTATGATGGAAACCCCGTTGTTGTGACAACTTCTCAACAACAACAGCAATCGCGAGGAGGCATGGTGACTGTAGCTGCATCATCGAATCCAACATCAGCAACAACGTCACGAACGACGACTACCAGTAGTACGAATTCGACATCGGCATCTGTCTCCGCAACCCAATACTCGCGAATGTTGCCACCTATAAACACCACTTATGCATCTCCTTCATCGAGCGCTCGTAGTAATAGTAGTAGTAATAACAGTAACAGCAACAACAACATGATGGCCTCTGTTGCAGATCAACGATATCGGGAACCTGCCAGTGTAACTCTGGATCGGAACACTCAACATGTATTCCAGCAATCGTATTCTCAAGGACAGCCGCCACAGCCGTCGTCGTCCTTGTATGGAACTACAGCTAGAGTGCCTGCACAGCAACAGGCACAACAGAGGGTGGCATTTGAGACAGAGATGAGGAATGGTGCAGCTGCAGCACCGAACAATGTGAATAGTAGACGGCAGCCATCTGGATCTGCCGGTAGTGGTGGGGCAGGAGGGACTTATACTACGGTATAGAAGTTTGTGATTCTTCTGCATTCCTGCATGATACTAAACGGTTATTTTCTTAGAACAAGACATGGAGGTGATCATCTTTTTTTGTTTTCTCCTTCGTAACTGGGACGACGATATGGTAGTTGGAATGACGACGTGGCAACTCCAACAAACTTAGTCGAGCTCGTAGACTCATTTTTTGGAAACTCTTATGCCACATAATAATACTGATTTGAGATGTAGACACCTTTTAAAATGATTTTGGAGTTTTGGGTTGAGTTTTTTATTGTGATCGCACACGGATCGTTACGGACTTTAATAGCTGTTAGACAGACATGTTGCATTTAAAAGGAATTACAGTCTAGTATTACCAAGTGCTATAATATAGGCCCTCTGTGTCTCTCAATCGGGTTGAGACCGGCTATGCCCACATTGCCTATAATGTTTTTCTGATGGTACGATCGTAACTTGGAAAAGTTCGAAAACAAACTGAAACCAATTGCCACTTGACTTAATAGAGAACATGTCTTCCTTTTTAAAGTCTGGACTCCTCAGACTAGACCGACCATTTGCGTGGACTCGTTAACTCCTAAGTGCCGAAATGGCTGAAAACCAACCATCGTTGTGCCTCCTGCAGAAGACACGAACAAGCCTCTGAAAGAAGGCGTATGGCACGATCGACAGTTCGTCACGTGCAAACTGGGCCATTTCTTGTCAGGTTCCCTTCCCGTGGCTGACGATGGTGTCCCACGTCTGACTTATGTTCAATCTCAGGTTTTACACTCCTGGGTGGAACAACCGTACTTATTGCTCTATCTGATGGATAAGATATGTATAGCGGAGGTACGGATAGTCACTGAGTGTCAATTTCATCCACGGTTGGCATTAGGGTGGCCTAGAGACAATGAGGTGCATTTTGTGTTAGCGGCAATGTGCTGGTTTTGAGGAAAACTGACTGGCTACAAGGGAAGGGGGGGGGG